TACCTTGCAAACATGTAGTGGCAGCAATTTTGGATAGGAGGTTTGATCCAAAGCTGTTTGTTCACCCTTCTTACTATAGAGAGACATACTTGAAGTCTTATGGATATGTCATAACTCCAGTGTCTTTAAGGAATCTGAAAAGAGAAGTTGGTACTGCTCCAATACTACCACCACCTCATAAGACTAAACCTGGAATACCTAAAAAGATCAGGAAAAGAGGTCCAGATGAGAGTAAGTCAAAAAGTCCAATGGTGAAGAGGTAAAAAATAAGATGCACTAAATGTCTTGTCTTGGGTCATAATGTAAGGACTTATAAAACACTTGAGAAAGCTACAAGACAACCAAAAGGAAAGGGTGGAAGACCAAGAATATTAAGAGGCACAGGTGGTGTAGGTGGTTGTAGAGATGAAACTGTTGCTGGCATGAGTGCGAGAAATTCTACTACAGAAGGTGTGAGATCTGTTAACAGAGGTGGTGGTAGAAGTGGTGTGAGAGTTAACAGAATTGCTACTAGGGGTGGTAATGGTGTTCACATAGGTGGTGGTGGCAGACCTGCTAGAGGTGGTAGCATTGGTGGCACAACTGTTAGAGCTGGTGGCAGTGGTGGCATAGCTGGTAGAGGTGGTGGCATAACTGGTAAAGGTGGTGGCAGTGGTAGCATAACTGGTAGAGGTGGTGGCAGAACTGGTAACAGACCTGTTGTACTTCATTTAAAAGTAAAAATTATATTTTTTATTTCATATTTATTATACATTATAAACACATGTAGGTTAATATTTATACTTTATTTAATAGCATTAACATCCACCCAACATTATGGTCTTGGTCTTGGTCTTGGTCTTGGTGGAAGAGCCATTGTTGGTCATTCAGATGTATTATTATTCAACCTCTTATTATTTTATTTTACGTTACATTAAACAAAACTGAACTAACACATATTTTTCATACATTGAATAGGCATCAACATCCACCCAAAATGAAGTGGTTCATATGGACTTTCCATCCATACTTAACACACAAGAATGATGGCATGTTGATGAAAGTGGTACTAGCTTTTTTGTGCAGCTTTTTTGGAGGACAAATTGAAGAAATGGTTGACTGCATATTAGTATTTTCATATGTTTTTAATGTAAAGCTAAGTAATGACAGTGATTTTGGACAGTGGTTGGTATTTTGTACTAATGGTGTAATGTGGATGGTTTATTTTGGACAGTGAATGTGCTGGTTTATTTGACAATGGTGGGTTTATTTTAGACAGTGAATGTGTTGGTTTATTTGACAATGCATGGCAATGTAATGACAGTGACTGTTTTTAATGTATGGCTATTTTGGACAGTGAATGTATTGGCTTATTTAACAATGCATGGTAATGTAATGATAGTGAATGTTTTTAATGTATGGCTATTTTGGACAGTGAAGTTGTTGGTTTGAATATATGTATACAACTTTAGCTTGATTTTGTTCATGCAATTCGAAACACAAGATTCAACACTTACAATTCTACAATTTAACTTCAACATACACTTTCACTCATGCACTTGACAATTCAGAAAGTACATTGCATGCATATTTCATACGGCTTCAAAATATATTTTGCATACACAGCCTTATATTAAAACCAACTGACTACTTTCTTCATAAAGCTATCATACATACAACAACACAGAACATAACAAATACTACATTGCTTCAGAATTTTTTGGATTTCTTCCATACTTTTTCCCATTGCTTCCAAACGGGAACTAACTGTATCATACCGGAACTTCAATTCTGCAATTTTACTAAACTTGCTTTCATCTGCTTCAGTATATGCTGGCATTGTACAAATCGGATCACACCATGCCCATAAAGAGCATTTTTTTGTACCACAAGAATAGTATATCCTCCCTTTGTTGTTAAACTTATTTGAACCTGTAACTCTCACTACAGTTGGATAGCCACAACCACATATTATGTTGTTATACCTGAGATCTTGCCGATTAACAGATTGTGTGGTCGAAGAAGACATTTGGGTTCCCTGATCACGGTTTAGGGCTTCTAATAGGGCATATAGTGGCTGCGATTTTGGGCTTTAAATAATCAATTGGGGACTTCAATACATCGATTAGGGCTTCAAATCATCAATTGGAGAATTTATAGATCAATTAGGGCTTATGCTACTGTTGCTATGGAGAATCCTCAAACCACTTCAATCACAGATAATAACAAGAAAAGACAAGAGCGAAGAAAGAATAGAGAAGAAAGAAGAAGGCACTTAACGAAGAAATAAGAGAGAAGACGGCAATTAACGAAGAGAGAAGCGATAGCAACAAATGAGAGAAGAGATCTTTTATGGCGGCACGCAATCCTCACTAACCAGTGCAACGACAGAGAAGGAAGGAGATAACAAACCTTAAACAATGCATAACCGAGAGGGTAGGGTTAGATAACAAACCTGAAGGGTTTTTTCGTCATTTCTATACGATAAGGGTACTTTCGTCATTATATTGGGGAATCTGTTACACGTGACGCTCACGTGATAAGAAGACGTTAGTGTTAGACGGTCAACTAACGGGGAGGGGGTCATGTGATATATTTTAAAATACATTGAGGGGTTTTATGATAGTTTTCGTACTTGAGGGGGTTAGTAAATAGTTTTTGAAAACAAAAGGGGTTTTTTTAGATTTTAGCCCTATTTTATAACTCAGAAATGGTAGAGTTACATATTTACTTATCAAATTAAAATATGTATATATACCTAATTGGATGATTAAAAAAATATATGTTCATTTTTAATTACTTTCCATCAAAAGTGGGTTGCAGACGATGTACATCTTACTGATTAAGATTTAAGCATTTTTTTTTTTTTTTTTAATGTTAAGTAATGATATTTAAACTTATTTATTTGGCAGAAATTTTTAATTAATGAGATTTTTATACATAATATATATGTTAAACTGTGCATCTTATTTATTACATTAAAAAAAATGTAAACTATTGGCCTATAGGTAAGAGAAATAAGTCTAAGAATGATTTTCATTTGATTATAGCATGGTTAGTTGGAAAAATTATTACTAGGGTCGTATCATTGTTCCCAAAGTAATCACAAACTGATATCCAAGTATGTAGATATATATATATATATATATATATATAACTTTGTGTTAATTTTATTTAACTTTTTATTTGTATATCAATTAGTGACAATCAGATCAATTGTTTGAGATCATAAAATAATTTTTTTTGTTCGTGATCATGGTGTAAGGAACGAATTCATATTACCATAACGTAACCGAATTGGTCATTGCAATTTTTTTCAATAATTTCTGACGTCTCGAAAAACAAAAATAGGATTTTCCTTGTTTCATCGATTTGAGGTGACATTGAGTGACCTGACAGTCTCTCGCTAAGTTGCATTAACATTTGCATACACAAGTGGATCGCATGAGAAACCTAAAGGACAGTTGTAACAAGGTCATTTCTTTCGCATCGGATCCCGAATAGGAAAATGATTGAGTATAAATCGATGGGTATGTAACACTACCTAATAACTTGAGTTTTTTGGTAAATGGACAAACGTCCAACCATTACAATTGGTATTAGAGCCAGACCAAATCCTTGATTTGGTGTAACGCTAAGCGTTCGGCCCGGAAGGCGTCCAGGTGAACCAACCTGGGTAGGCAGGGTGGCCAGAGCCGCAACGAAGACATTGCGAGTTTGGGTAAGGGAGAATGTAACAAGTGTCATTTGTCCCACATCAGATCCGGATGAAAAAGTAATTGGGTATAAATGGATGGGTATGCAGTACTACCCAACAGTTTGAACTTTTAGATAAATGGGTAAGCGTTCACCCGTTACAATACTCTTGTATGAGTACACTATAACCTCTATAAATTATCGAGTTTTTAATTTAACAAGATATTTTATATACATTATTTATTTTTTTCAAAACATTTAGTTTCTCAATACTCTTAGAGATTCAATGTATTGTACTCATTAATCAATTAAGATTCATTGTATTGTACTCTTCTAATCAATTAAAAATACATTTAACCAACCAAAGATTAAATGTGTTGTATTTACTATTTAATAAAATAAAATTTAATGTATTGTACTAATTTTACCAAATTATTAATTTATGTAATAAGTAGAATCTATAAAAACGAATTTTTTTAAAATGTATTATCTTATCAATTTAATCAAATTATTAATTTAGTACCTTGGCGAAAGTCCAGGCATAAAAAGAATATTAATTTATTGAGTATTACTGTAATTTATAGAGGTTATATTGTATGTTCATCGTGTGATCGTGTTTGGAAGCCTGTATTCAAGCTTGCACCTTTCCCACCTCCTCTAACAATTAATCACTAACCCCTAACATTTCTTGCCCAAAAAAAGAAAAAAGAAAAATTATGTATGTCCATCTAATTTCTCTCTTCATATGGTGTTTCTGTAATAATCTCTGATTCTCTGTTGGTATCCCGATTGATACAGGTCTACTTTTCTTTCTAGTATTTATAGAGCTATATTTATGGGGTTTAATTCGGAACACAAAAACTCTAATTTGTGTGGGTTGGGCTTATATTTATTTGTATTTTTTTCAATATTTGGTGCCCAAGTCTACAAATTTCAAATAAAATGCAAGAAATGTAGTGTCAATCAAGTCAACCTTTGGTAACATAACCAAAGATTGTCGGACTCTTATAAACATAAAACTGAAAGATGTGAGACTCAACATCTGCAAAAATACCAAAGTTAACCAACAGCTTAAGACACAACTTCCTAAGTTCCTAGCATCAGCGACAAAAAATTGTAATCGTCTGTTTTGCCCTTACATGTACCCTGGGCTCCCAACAGTTAGATGTAATAATGTGACCCAAGTAATTGATAATTCAACCGGCAAGAGACGTGGAGGTACGGTACCCAGGATATTATAAACTTTCTTGTTATCCCACTTTTCGAAATGAAATATACAAGTTTAAGCCATAAAACATACAGGCCCCCATGTCACAAACTAAAGGTGCTAAAACATGGATATGAAATTCTCATATCAACTGGCTTGCTACCATGACTGATTGACTAAATGTACTGATTACAATTACTTGGCTATAACACCACATACTTAAGAATTAAGGGATTGCTATGCTTTCAACATATAGGGCAAAAGAAGAAATAACACTGAAAACACAAGAGCATGAATTCTTTCAGCACTAGGTCAAAAAACAATCAAACAACGTTACAAACGCTTCTCGCAGTGCAGAAGCTTCCAGCTCGCATGGGGTCCCTCGCTGGTGTCAAATCGGAAGATCACCCATCCTACCGCATTTGCAATTTCTTGAATTTCATCAATTACGTATATGGTGTCACGAATATAGGCACGCCCACCTGGCCTTAGAATCCGATCCATCTCAAGTATGATGGTAGAGATATTACATCTGCTTGAAACATACAGAAATGATCAGTATGATGTTTTCCCCAAAGATCAAATGACGCGTAAATAAATAAAACAAGAAAAACCAAAATTATACCTCTTTTGTTCTTCAGAGAAGAGACCTGCTGCATTCAGTAGGTCATATGTTCTAGGATAAGTGTCAAATGGCTCACACCTATACACAATAACAAGCATTACAACTTAAGTCCACCATTCAAGTAACAGGAGCAACCAACAGGATATGAACAATTTCACTGCATTACATGTCTTGTTAAAAACCTTCAAAAATGCAATTCATAAACAATCTGTCATCTAAAGTTTTTGAGGGCTCTTGAATAATCAAGATGCTAGATAACGATGATATATTCATGCACAATTTTTTAAGCATTATTTAGATTAGAGTACTTTTGGGTATCTACGTCAATTGGGTTGAGGAGAGTTTATTAGAGATTCACATAGGCCTTTTCTCCTTTGATGAGGAAAACAAAAAGAAATCAGTGCTCTTTAACATATATTAAACGCTGTTAAGTTAATAGTCTAGGGAAAATATGTTAATGTAAATAGGCAATGATTTGGGGTCTTTTTTGTGCTGCTTTTAGAGAGATGGAGAGAGTGGTGGTCAGAAGGTTTTCAATTTCTAAAGAATTGATAATCTAGAGAAAATTTACAAAAATAAAGTGAATCTCTCAAGCAGAATCATACGAGGACATAAGAACCAAGCGAATGATGATTGTTCAATCAGAATTTCATCAAAGAAACAAGCTAATACAGCAACACTATCAAGTTGAGAATTGGTACTTCGCAGCTGTGCTATGGGATGGAGGGTAATCTTGTCAACTTAGTATCACAAATAAATAAATAAATAAAAATTAAATTAAATAAATAAAAGAAAAAATGGAGTAGAGTGTGAGTGGTGGAAAGGGGAGTAAAAATAGCATCACTGATATTCCTTTTCTTCATATAAACTGTTTCCTGTAGGAGAAAAAAGAAGCAAAAGGAAAGGTGTGTTGTGTTATATGTCTGAAAAAACAATGGACCATGTGTTATTCGCCAAGCTTAAACAAACAACTTTCTAAGGCTCCTTGCAAGTTACTGGAACTTCGTGGACCATAAATCAGTTAAAGATTCAGATGCTCAAACTCCATGCACAAGAACAAGTATGTTAACGCAAGGGAAGGATGATGAGATGGTTCAAAAAAATAAAATCTATTACTTGACTTGCCAAAGCTTGAAGTATTTCAGTCAGAGCTATCCAAACACAAAGGATTACGATAAATAAATATTAAAGACCATGTGTAGAAAAGGTACAGAGCCCATACCAGTCATGCATAACTCCTATCAGTCCTCGGTCATAAATTACAGGCAAGGTATTATGACTGCTAACAGGAACAACATTCATAACCCAACAATCAACCTGTAAATCATGCAATGCTGCTGCAAACCTGCCATGAAAAAAATAGCCAACAATTTTTAAGGTATTGCAATGTCTTATAAGGGACTAAGAAGCTTCATATATTTGAAAACTGTGACTCGAAGATATAAAGAAGATACCCTCCATATCCAGCCCTCATGTCCATCACATTTCGTAGGTTTGATTCCTTCAAGTGAAAAGCAGAAACATAACCGCTCACGATATCATTTCGATATTTCGACTCTGCTCTATAAATTTCCTTTCTGGACATGTAAGCATCCATTTTAATGCTAAGGAGCCTGTCTGGTGGAAGATGAAGACGTGCAGGCCACGTAGTAACATTAGCTCCATAGCCATTCTCGGGTAGTCTAGAGATGCATGCCTTCAGATCAATGTACCTGTGACGAAGCATGACAATAGTTAACAGTTATTATTCATTTCCATTGTTAACTTTTCCCCCTTCAAGTAGGTAGGCCCTACAAAACCCTCTGGGGGTTAAAATTAAAACTTAAAAGCAAGATATCATTTCACAAACTAAGCTACAAAATCAACACTAAGTAAAAGATTCTTGTTCAAATCAGTGTGCAAGAAAGCACTTGAAGAAATGGTTATACTAATAACTCTAGATCAACTATGAAACCAGATTCTCCCCTTGCATCTCCGTAAGTGGACAGCAAAAAGTAACCTCTCCAGTCAAAGTTTCTGCCCGTATAGATAATAAGATCAGATTTGGGTAATCTGTTACAGCCCCACAACAACTCAAATAAATCAACAGTTGGGCAACTGGGAAAAGGAAATGGGAATTAGAATATCTCCCTCACTAAACAGAGTAGGAATTGTACCTCTAACATGATATTCATTCTCTAAAAGGTCAGCTAAAGAGGGAGCATTCAGGCCAGTTAGCTGAAATTAGCTCATAAGATTTTAATTATTTCCATTATATTGTATATTCATCCCGATTTCTTGCCTTCCTTTATAAGCTTATCTAAGCATAATAAGAGAAAAGAATGGGAAAAAAAGAAGAAGGCACTGACATTTCATGCTTCGCCTAGATTGGATTAGATGTTCAAGGTGACAGAAGTTAAGTTCTGGAACTTACAAAACATTCCAAAATACAAACCACAGACTATTGATGACACGATAAAATTAACCATCAATGAAGTTGACATGGAACAGAAAAGGGGTTCATACAGGTCTGCATAATATGTTTCCACTTCAAATCCAATTTCGATGTCAACAGCAGAATTAATTTCCACTTAAAATTACTGAAAGAGGGACAGATATAAAGTTCAATCGTCCAATCGATTCCGTTGTACCTGCAAATAAAATAAAAGAATGCTAGTTGTGATGTTGTGGCCCAAATTTAGTGCCGGGTTGCAACGACAACCCGTTGGATGAGCTTTGTGTGCGCCCAAGCCCACCAAAGCTCTAGGGGTTCGGGGGCTTGGGTCCGAGGAAAATTTTTGACCGTTTTTGCTCATGTGTCGTTGACCCTAATTAGTACTCTTTTGTAGCCCGATATATAAGGGGTGCTTACGGTTGGGAGTGTGATGATCAAGAGACACTGAAAATCGTAGAGAGAGAGAGAGAGTGAGGGGCTGAAACTCGTAATCTCCGATTTTACACATAGTGAAGACTTTTGCTGGATCTCCACCGTGGACATAGGCTTTGCCGAACCACGTATAAATTTTTATGTTCTTTGTGTGGTGTGTTTATTTTGCTGTCGTGTTTCGTAATTGTTGCTTGGTTCGCAGCGTTTGTCGGAACACCAGCAAACGATAACTCCCTTTATCAAATTAAACTGGTCAAAAAACTGGTTAAGCAATTTTTAGACCATAAAGCCCTCGTGTACTGAATATTCTGCCTGATATCCTGATCCAAACTTAGGCCAAACCTGACAGACAGCTATTAATGCCAGATAGTTGTTGGACCAAGCCACTCTGATTTTCTTCCACCATTAACCAAGATATAATTCAGAAAAACAAATGTATTTGGAAAATTTATTGGGAAAATTACATATAAATGGAGTCAAAGTTCCATATTTACTTAGAGGCTGAGTCAAAGTTCCATATTTCTCTAAAATGGATTGCTGAGGTGGCACATGGTTTTTTACTGTTTAGAAATTGTGGTGCCTAAAATACCCTTCCGCGGAGGTACTACTTTTTCTTCGAAGGTACTACTTTTTTTAACTGAAGGTACCACTTTTTGGTGTCCAGGTACCATGTTTTTTAAACACCCGCGAAGGTACTACTTTTTCTTCGAAGGTATTACTTTTTTGAACTGAAGGTATTACTTTTTTGAACTGAAGGTACTACTTTTTTGTTAGGGAAGGGCATTTTAGGCACCACAATTTTCTAAACAGTAAAAAACCATGTGCCACCTCAGCAATCCATTTTAGAGAAATATGGAACTTTGACTCAGTCTCTAAGTAAATATGAAACTTTAACTCCATTTATATGTAATTTTCCCAAATTTATTATCATCTTTTCTCATTATTTACCAAAACCTCTTAGGGTCATGCACTGATGAGCACATTAGTCTATTCATGTAATTGAGATGGTCCATGCTTCAAGATTTTAAAATATTCAAACAGATCATAAGAACGGTTGCCATATGCGCAAATTTGTAGGGGGAAAGTAGGACATACCAAACATTGTCCGGGTCATCATTGGCATCGCATAACAAAGGATGTACTCCAGGATCACGATTAAGATAACAGCTGTTGTTTAGAGGCTTCCGCCATATAGCAATATAACCTTCCTTCTTTACAAGTTCCCAACAAATGCGGCCAGTAAGGTCCTCCATTTCTGCGCATAAATAATGTCAACATTGAACAAGATCAATATAAGTCCCAAAAAAAATGAAGAGACGAGTGCAAAATTATTACGTTGGAAACCAGAGAAAGAAAAAAAAAAAAAAAAATGAAGCTTATGATGGTGATCGTTATGGGGAAATAGCAAGATATAAGGAATAACAAATCATTGTATAAAGAGGTAGTTTCAACCAGACAAACAAATCATATAATAAAAAAAAAATACTACAAACTTCAGAACAGCATTTTGCAATATGTAAAATAAGTAACTAACTAATAACCTTTTCTCTAAGCTAAATTTAAATCACTGTCCTTCTCACCATGGAAGGGCTAGCCTTAAAACCTAATTCCCACTGATCTATTTTACTAAAAGGGACATGATGGGTGGGTACCTTTCCATTGTTCCTGCACTTTATCTTCATGTTTATAAACAGGTTGTGCTGCCCAAACAAAGTATCCTCCTCCTCTTAGCATCCTGTTGACCTCAAGAAGCAAAATTCCATCTTCAAAACAAGCCAAAGAATGAGAAGGCACAATCAAGTCCAAGAAATACAGAGAACTAGTATCAGCAATTCTTCAATCCCTCAAGCAAAAATGAACAAAACTAAAAAATGAAAAAGAATCCGGTACATGAAAAATAAGAAAGGAGTAAAAATGTATTCCGTGCAAACATGAATCAATCATCAATGCATGATAGTACCAAGTACACAAGTTTGTTTAAAATGTAAATATAACAGACAATTTCATCTTAGTGCCAAAGGGTTGCCCAGAGATACTTCCAGAAAGGAATAAAAATGTATTCCTTGCAGACACAAATAGATCATCAATGCACGATAGTGACAAGTGCACAAGTTCGCTTAAAATGTAATTATCACAGACAATTTCATCTTGGTGCCAAAGGGTTGCCCAGAGATATTTTCAGACCATCCCTCAATAAAAAAAATAAAAATAAAAATTAAAAAAACCACAAATGTGAAACAGAAGAGGGAGTACCATCACGGGTCCAATTAATTCTACATCTTGAACAATGTATAAAGTCAAATGCCTGGCTAGGATATAATAAGCGACGTGTCGCAAATGCTGCTAACATGGCAGGCACACCACGCTCTAGCGCAAACTGAATCTGGTTTTCATGAACATCTTTTGGTGCTATAGAGAGGGTAGTCACATTACGGCCTAACAAGAAGGCACCAAAACTTGCTACTCCACAACCAACATCCAAGGCAACTCGGGTGTGTTGCCCAAATGCAATGTCCGGAACCATCTGCATGCTCAAATCATAAGATGGTAATTAGTGCACGCAGACACACAAAACCAGTTGAAGTTGTAAAAAGGCCAACCTTGGAAATCTGATCCAAGTACTGATCTGCCCCATGGATAAATTGTGTTCCACCTCCTGGAAATATAAACTTATCTTCCTTTCTTGATATCCAATTTTGGCCTCCCTTATCCTCAACCAACCGTGTATGGGGTACATTACTGAACCATACCTATTATTACACCTTAAGATTAGTCAAGAGGCCTTCCTTTGAATCAAGTATACATTTATACACTGCAATTAAAAATCTAGAAAAAATTATAAAAGAAAATCACTCAATTGAATGACCCACTGCTTCTTTAACAGCGATTAGTTAGATCACAACTCATACATCAAAGATTCTGGAAAGTGAGAGGAAAGTGGTGTTCTAAGTTCAAATATCACCATGTCAACTAAACACCCACAAAAGCAACAGTCTTCTTTATCTCCCATTGCTCACATAATTTAACATTATATAGCTTTCCCTTTATGTTGCTCTTATAATCAAACTTGGTTAAATCCAATTGCAACTTCCACTATGTGAACTGAACCAATTTGAGGTACTACAAGAAATGAACTAGTAAAGACCTAATTTTAGCCTTATTTGCACAATCTAGGTTATCCTTGGAGCAAATAATTATACAAAATCTTCATCATTAAATCTATGAACAACAATTATACAGTAAATTTCACAAGAAGTCAATCAAACATACTGAATTATATGTATCAATGCAAACATATCACAATATATCTTCATTTACCGTACCTCGTCTCGGCTTTTCGGCCAAGGTATCTTGAGCTTATACCCCTCCGGCCTTGGTACCACACAATCCAGCCCTTTCCCTCTTTCCGGACAATGCCGTTCAAACTTCTCCCCTCTCTCTGTCGAATTCAACCGCGAAATCATCTCCACATTGTCCAAACAAGGAATGTAATCTGTCATACTCTCATCACACATCCTATACTTCTCAACCCTAACCCTAGAATTTCTACTAGCCCGATCACTCTCTTCCCCATGTTTTTGACTCTCATTTGCCACACTCTCAATTAAACTGGGATCGAACTCTCCGACCTCGAAATCCACCGTCATCAACCCGTTCCCGTCGACGATTCCCGTTCTCTCCACCGCCAGCGGCGGAGGCCGAGACCGATTGGCAGCGGCGGTGGAAGAGGAGGAGGAGGAGAAGATGGGCTCCACCTCAGAATCTTCGTCGATGAACCCCGCAGTCTCCACCGCCAGCGGCAGCGGCGGCGAAGGACGATTGGCTGTGGTGTTGGTGGAAGAAGATGAGAAGACGGCGAAGTGGCCTTGTTGGTAGGAATCCGAGAAATGTTTGCAGAGGAGGAGGATGGAGAGAGAGAGGAGGGACAAAGTTGTAATTTTGATGAACGATGAGGATGATATCATTTCTGATGGTAAGTTTGTAATGGCCTTCATGGTTGGCTCTAACGGAGTTTGCTCAATCTTTACATGTTATACACTGTGTGAGACTTGTAGAGAAAGAAATACTAGTACTATGTGTTTGCGCCTGTGTGTGTGTGTGTATATATATATATATATATAGATAAAAAATGATGGGAAGAAGAAAGGAGGTTTTTGAGGTGGAGTGGTCCGTAAACGCCACGCAATTCCTACGAGATCAAAGTATACGGGAAGGGGAGTGTCACGTGACTGATGGGAACACATAAATTATAGTACGATGTACTTAAGTTTCCTTCTAATCTGACAGCAACTATTTATTTTATTAGTTTTTTTTTTTTTTTTGTCTTCTTCTTACTTTTGACTTTTTACAATATAATTCAATAAATATAATTATTTTTTTTTTTTGTGAATTTTAATAAATTTTGAACATTATTTAACACATGTAATAATCTATATTCATCAATTATATATTACACAAACTTCAAAGGTGGGTAAGTGTTACAAGCAGAGTTTGATCTGGATGGGAATTGGATCTTGATGAGAATTGAAATGTGTAAAAATAAATAAGTAGGTATATAATACTATTTAATAGTTTAAATTTTTAAATAAATGAACAAGCACTCATTTAATATAATTGGTATCAGATTTAAATTCAGTTCTTAATTCGATGTCACTCCAAGTGTCCGACTCAAAAGATGTTCGAGTGAGCCACCTAAGTAGACAGAGTAGTCCGTGGCTTCTATGAATATTAAGGGGAAATTAAAATGTAAGGAAAAAAGAAAGAGGAATCTCTTGAAGATGATTGGGAATTCTAACCACCATTGTGACATTCTCACCAACTTGGTCCTAAGCCTTTTGATCCCATTTGGTTGCTGTATTTCACATTGGAAATCAAACCATTGTGAGCTACTAAAACTTGAAATTGAATGATGTAAAATTAAAATAAACTGGGGATTCAATCGGAATGTGATACTAACACTAAATGTGACATCACGATTATTGAAGATGCTTGAATTTGAGATTGGGCTACTTAATGCGGGGTCGATATAATTAATATTTCTTTTATTTTTCTATGGACGGAGAGCTACTATATTATGTGATTGCGTTGTTTGATTGAAAAGTCAACATCCTTGCATATCCAGGCAAGCAATTTCTTAATTGAAATTCATTCTAAAGTCATTGGCCTCAAATCATATGGATTCTAATGAGTTCTGAAGTCAGCAACGTTATTTCATTACATAAAAGTCATTAATCCCACGAAAAGTGAGATTAAAAATAAGTCTATAACATTTTTCTTCACCAAGAATTATACTACTATCAACTTGGTGTAATATATATATATATATATATATATATATATTCAGTAAGTAATCGAAACAGTTCAGGTTGTTAAACATAGGTAAAAGTTTAGATCAGTACAAGCAATCCCTAATTGCCAGAGCAAGAATATTAATAGGAATATGGACAAGAGCAACATCCTTAGTAAGATGACTTTTAGAAAGCTTCGAAATAGCATGGGCTACCTCGTTGCCATGCCTATGGACATGACTAATACATGATGAGAAGAATTTTCGAAGCGCCACTTTAATATCATAGGATACTGCTTGAATTTCAACTGCCCGCGATCTGCTTCAAGAACAACTTTAACAACAATTAAAGAGTCACATTCAAACCATACCTGGTCAAATATACAATTCAAAGCCCATAAGACTGCTTTTCAAAGACAGATGGTCTCTGCTGAAGTTGCGCTACAAGCAAGAAAAGGACAAACCACAGCCTGCAAAATATTTCCCATATAATCTTGGAAGACAGCTCCACCACCCCCAACTTGGAATGAATGAAAAAAAGACGCATCCACGTTACATTTAATAAAAGCTTCGTGTATCTTGTATGGAAAGATAAAAAATGCTGAAACATAGGTAAAAGGTAAAACTTAAAACTTTAGTTAAAACTTGTGATACATGTCCCACATTGTATAAGTGTACATTGAAAATAAATAAATAAAAATAAAATAAAATAAGAAAGATGATTATATAACCATGACATAGTAGGGCAAGGAAATTTTCCCAAGTGATATGGGCGAAGCAGGTGTGGCTTCGCTTGAATGGTATTAATAACCATGATTAATAGAGATGAATGGCTGGTTCTGTCTCATTCCATTAAAAAATAAAATAAATAAATGAATGACTATTCACATGGCCGGAGGGAACTACGTAACAGAGGAGCACGTGCGAGAATACCCCTAGTAAATTATTGAAAGTGCCCTGAATTTTTTTATTCCAAGTGGTCACAATGAATCCGGCTAAGGGACATTTTGGTCATTTGATAGAGAAGAGATTGACGATGGAGTTGGAGATTTTCGAAGATGAAGACGTTCTCCTTTCAAGTTTGGGCTTTTTCACCGAGCAAATTGTTCCCTCACAGCCATCAAAAGTACATTCTCATAAATGAGAGGGCACTAAGTTGTGCTCTTATTGTAGTTTGTCCTTTAAAAAAAAATAAAAACAACCATAATATAATATTTTTCTTGTAACCCTATCAATTAATATATATATATATATATATATATATATATATATATGTGTGAGCTTTAGAAGATTCCTAGTGGAATGGTCAAAATTCTGATTTGCATGTTTTAAATTACTACTTGGATTGAAATTTCGAGAGCTCTAACATGTTTTATGGCGCTTGGTGTGTGCACATAACATGACTACTACGTAGAAATGATGCTTAACAAGTTATGTATTGCTTACTTTTGAAAAAGTTATATATTGCTTGTATTTGTAGAAGCCTTTAAAAAAGAAATAATTGCAACTTTATGAATAAAATTTTGTTCAATATTGGCAATCTTCAAATAAAGTTGCTGAATAAATTTAATCAAGCTCCTTAGACATGAAGGAAGCCATGAACCACCCAAAATGAGTGAACACATGAAAATGCTCTCACTAATACTGGTAATAATTAGCTGGAAACAACCTAAAATCAAACAAGCTGCCAATGGCTTTGTGTGTGTAGTATGGTTCGTTGTATTGGTCGATTTATAATTCTTTTTCAAAGGTTCGATATCGTTACACACCTTCATGAACCGGCCGGTTCAGTCGGTTACACTGCGACCGATACCGTGACTGTGAACTATGGTATATAATACTCATAAAATTGGTAATCTTGCATTTTGAAGTTCTGAACCGGGGTATTGAAATTAGAATTAAAGAAAAATTAGTTTAAATTTTAAAATAATTTTTCTTTACTTTCAAATTCAAAGCGTGCATACAAAACATAGCATTAGTGAAAAAAAGATTACGTAGAGAAAATGATTGAAAAACCAATTGTTGATGAAGGATGGAAGAGAAAAAGAAAATTTAAATGGTGGTGCACTATTAAGATAAAAGCCAAGTAGAAGGACAAGTAAGAGAATTTATGGATTTTGATTCTTGATTGTTGAAGAATGTATGGATTTTGAATAATTAAGTTTGTAATTCTCCCATTTTGGTCTTACAAAAAATAAAATCAAGAACATATAACAAATCACAACCATCATCTGAAGCTCAAAATTTTTCTCTAATAATCAAATGATTATTGATTTCCCATAAGAAAGATGTATTCACATTAGATATATAGTTCGGGAGATTGGTTTGGTGGATATAAGTGTCTAACTCACTAGGTATTGACTATTTATTTATTTTCATTCTTTTTGCCTCGTCAAGAAATACACTCTCATGTACGCTAATTGTTTCTACGAAAACTTAAATTCTCGATTTGAGAACTAGAACCTTTGGTGTTTTAAGATGTTATTTGATAAAAATAAAAATTAAGCACTAAAAATTTTAAGAATTGAGTTTTAATTAGTAAATATAAAGTAGAAATTTCTATATATATATATATATATATATATTTTTTTTTTTCAAGTGTTCATCATTTAATGAAAAACGCCAGTCTAAAATTTTTAACTTATTTTCAATGACACGCATTTTTGGAACTAATATTTAAATTGCATTATAAATGCACTCAATTAAATAAAGACTTAATCAATGTGAAATTAGATTATCAAACAACATCCATGATAGGGTTAGAGATTTCTTAAGCATGGGTCACAAATTTACAATAATATTCTCGCAGATTGGGCTTGTTTGTGATGATTGTTTGGGCTATAGTTTGGGCTCACAAATTTACAATAATATTCTTGCAGATTGGGCCCATTAAATTATATTTTTATAGAATTTCAAATCTTCTCCCAAACTTTTCTTATAGTAAGTCAAACTTTTAACAACAATTCCGGTGGAAGGACTTTTGGTGTGATTTGATGGTGTGAGGTAGGATGGAAATTACAAACGAAAAGCCCTTTTACATAAGTTTCTATACGCCTGACCTATCAACTTTTCAACTACTTTTGACTGTCAATGCCACCTAGAAACAATGTGTAACAAAAATTCAACGCAAAGTCAGTCCACCCTAGAAAAATCCATCCCATGCAAGGGGCAAGAAATGTTTAGGTGTCACAGTTGGAAATTTTGTTCTCCGGGAACTTTCTCACAAAATTATCTTTTAGTTGCATTAGTTTTCCACAATCTAATATATGCATATACATACATACATACATATATATATGTGTGTGTGTGTGTGTATATATATATATATATATTATAACTTCTATGACATGCATCTATTCAGTTTACATACTAGCTCTCAACCAAACTCTTTTTTTTTTTTTGACTGCAACTAAAACTTGTACAAAACTAGCACTACAAATTTTCTTTACAAGAGTGATGTGTTTTCCATCAATATTCTTCTCCTCAATTTGTTGTAGTACAGCAGGAAAAAAAAATGAAAATTACCTTTCAAATATACATACATACATACATACATACATATATATATATATATATATATATATATGAAAATTTAGGAGAAACTTTATTTTGTCATTAAAAGTTCAAACTCATACACACCCACTCAATATTGTCAACATTCTTACTACTCAATTTGTAGTATAGCAAAATATAAGAAAATTTAAGTTTTTTTTTTTTTTTTTTAATCCGAAAGTTCAAACAAGTGAACGTATATACACCACTCAACCTCTTCTTCAAAGAAAACGAATATATACATCACTCAACCTTTCCTTTAAAGAGGAGCAATCATCGATCATCTATCTAAACTAACACGTAGCTTAATTAACTACTATGTAAGCCATCCATGTCAGATTAGCTTTCTGTCCCTAGTTGTACGTAGCACCAAGAAGGAAAGAAGACAAAATGTACCCATCCAATAAACTTCTATAAGTATCTAAAATTATATAGTACTCTCTCTTCCTATATATATATATATATCATGAAATGATATGAACCACTATATTATTCCCAATATCCCAACTAGAAGTCTCCTCATTCCGCCCACTCTTCTCCCCTCTCAAAACTACCAATCAAGTGATCAAGCCACACTTCTGAAGTTGAAGAATGAGTGAAGCATGGTGTGTGTGTATATCAGACTCCATTATTAATTGCGTCTCAATCTTCTTCTCTACTACCAAATAAAGAGTCCTAGTCAAACCAACTCCACTGAAAAGTACTGGACCATGTGAAAGACCATGAATAAACCAATAACGTTTTTCTCATAATAATGATTTCAATAAATAAAATTATAGATGGATTTTTTTATTTGATAAATAAAACCATTGTATGATACAGGGAACAATTGTTGACATACCACCGATGTTAAGGATTCAATTCTATCACTCATAATAATAATAATAATAATAATAATAATATATAAACCACAAGACATGTCACTTATATTAGATTTATATAATAGCGATCGGTTAATTGAACATATATGCCCAGAGAATAATGGGTTTTTTGGAATGAATTGTAAACTTGGACATCAATTTAATTGTTGTAATGCATAATGTTTTGCTTTGCCGGGAATGTAATCGGTGGCTTATATGTAAAGTGCATTATTATTATTATTATTTTCTGTAAATAGTGAAGTGCATTATTGGTTATATACTTCTATTAGAAACGGTGTTGATGTTTCAGGGATTGATTTAAAAAAATTTAGCATTTCGCCCAAGATTCGAAACTACAATTTTATGTTCCTTTCGGTACGAATGAAGAAAATTAGATAGAAGGGAGAGAAGAATAGATGGATAAGACATCGATCTCTAAGAAAATAATAGAATGATTCCTTCTATTTGTTTGGTTGGATGGAAGAGAATCGAGGAGATAAATTACTAATATGGAGGAGAAAGAATACTTCCTTCTATTCTTCCCGTTCCGTTCAAATTTAGAGAAATGAAAATTTGTTAAGGTGTGTCTCATTCATCTTTTTTTCTCTGATCTCTTTGTTTCTTCTCTACCAAACGAAAGAAATTTATTTCTTTTTTTATATCTTCCTTCATGACTAGAAATATGACAGTATAAATTGTATAATAAAAATGGTCTTTTCACTAAAATCTCTATTTATAATAATAAAAACACAATATATATAAATAACAAAACAACAATAAAATTTATTAATAATAGCAATAAACGAAATAAAAACAAGTCTGCAGTGGCTATTGCCACTGATTACATAGTTCATCTGAATCTAGCAATCATATTAAAATGGTGCTAGAAAAACAATGTCTTAGATTTCAAGAATTGGTGACCAACATCATGTTCTTGAACTCCTCAAAATCCAGCAACCCATCAGAGTTTGAATCAAAAGCTTGAATCATGATCTTACAATCTCTGCCATTATGCTCATCCCATAACCCTAATCTTGACAGTATGCTTTGGAGCTCCTCATAGGAAATGAATCCATCACCATTCAGATCAAACACATTGAAAGCCTTGGCAAGATCAGCCTCCAGATTATTATCGGTCGCCTCCTCCTCCTCCTCATGATCAGCAGCAACCTTGCTGCTTTCACCGATGTTTGGCTTGATAATGGTGTCGCAGAAGAATAAGAAATCAATGAGGTCGAGGCTCGTTTTTCCTACCAATGACTCGAGCTCGTGCAGGCTCGTATGGACACCAATCCTCTCGAGGAGCCAGTTGAGCTCGTCGAGGCTCACCAGGTTGTCACCATTTTTGTCAAGCTGCTCAAAGATCCGGTGCAAATCTTCGGAGTTGAGAGGAGACATGGTTTGGCATAGTCACCAAAATATATGTACAAGAAGTAGGTTGTTGGGTGATGACACAGTTGACACTACAATTTATACATTTTGAAGAATATACGTAGTAATGCAAGACTAGTACTATATATATAGAAAAATGTAGAGGCCAGGTCATAATGACACCTGCCATTGTTGTTGTGTGGTATTACTCATTCTTTCAACTTGCACGAAGCTTCGTGGAAGAAGCCCTTGTGAAAGGAACATTGATACTATATATGTGAATTGTGTGGTTGGTTGGTTGGTGATGAGCTCCAGTGTGAGAAAAGACTATTTGCGTTATTCGAATTGTCCTGATTTCAAGTTTTTGTTACACTATGCAACGAGTGCATTTGAATTGTCTGTGTAATATATGTTACGATAATGAATAGTTAGATGCACCTGATGCAAACGTGCGAAACAAAGTTTTTTTGGATTTTCATATAACAAATTCAGGGAGGTTCAAGCATATGGCAATTAAGATTGTTAGGGCCCACCATATTAGGTATATATATAAATTTATTATGCTTCATGTATATTTTTAATTACCAAACAATTCCCCAATCAAGGACGGCTCTATAAGGCAACCAAGCTGGTCGCTTAAGGCCCCTAATAGAAGAAGAGGCCCTTATCTCATTATATTAGTTACCCAATATATGTTTTTTTTAATTAATTAATTATGCTTAGTGCCTTATATTAATTACCAAATAAATATATTTGCTACTGTATTGGTCCAAGTTTGTTTTTATATTAATTAGTTATATATATATATATATTAATGAATTATTTATGCTTTGTATATTGTATTAATTAAGACGGTCACCTAAGACCCAAATAGAAAAAAGTCTCAAGTCTCATAATTATATTAGCTATTTATTTCTTTTAATGCATTGACTATGTTTCATGTATTATATTAATTATCAAATAAATGCATTAGTTATATATATAAATTATTAAATTATTTGTGCTTTGTGTATAGTATTAATTACCATGGGCAGCTCAATCATAAGGTAATTAAAGCTATAAGGCTTCCAATGAAAGAAGAGTCACATATTTCGTTATAGTAGTTATATATTTATTTTAATGAATTAATTATGTTTAGTGTATTGGATTAATTAATTAATATTACCAAATAAATACATATGTCTTGTATTATATATTTCTCATTATATTAGTTAGTAATTAATTAATTACTTTTGAATGGTCAAATTGCATATCTTCTACACTACATTACATGCAAATTTTATTTTACTTAATTTAGAAAAAAAAATAGATAATATGAATATTTCTTCAAATTTTGATATTAGAAGATTTCAGGAATTGCATCTTAAAGGTTTAAGTAGTTTTTAGTCGGTGTTAATTAATGTTATTATTGTTTGTTTCAATTCATTTAAGTTTCAAAAGGTAAGCAATAGTTTATATCATGAAGATAGTAAGGTTCACCAAAACATGTCAGATGTGTGTGGTTATAGCATTGATATTTTCTTCCTACACGTCTAGGTATACCGACATAACTCATAATATACCACATTCCAGAATTTCTATTTATAATTATAATTTTTTTTTTTGGAGGCAAGTAGAAATAATAAATAAAAGCAGAATTGTTTAAATTGCATTAAATATTTGAATTATTCTAGACAAGAAACTCACAAATCCGCATTGTCATTATGAGAGCAGGAGAGAATCCTACAGTTAACTAAGAACATTCGAGCCTCTCCGAATTTTGGCTCTCCAAAAATGTCACTTCAACTTTTCTTAAAGTCACGTCAGCAGTTTTCGCTCTCCAGAAAAGGCACTCTATCAGACAATCCAGATTTTAGCTCTTAAAAAAAAATTTAAATTAAATTAAATTTTTACTTTTTTTTAACTTTTTCCTAATGTCTATATTTTTCATCTTATATAATGAACACTCATTGTATAAATTAAAAAATAGGATTAATATTGCAACTTTAAACATTACATTATCCATTACATGGATTAAAAAAGATACGATTAATATTATAACTTTAAACAATAGATTATTCATTATATGGATTAAAAAAATTTAGGATTAATATAACACAACTTTAATCGATACATCATTTATTATATGGATTAAAAGGATTGATGTTATACTTCACGATATGCCAGCAACTTTCTAACTCAAATTCAGCGCTTGTTTCACTACGAAACACCTCTTTAACTTCTGTCATCGGCACAAAAAAATTAAAAATAAATTAAAAGTCGAATATTTAAAATATTTACGAATTATATTTAAAACAATAAATAACTCACCATATCATTAATGCTGAAGCCACTGGGGCGATTCATTTCGATGTTAGTAATGCACCCAGAAAATTTGTTGATTTGTTTTCATATGGTGGACCAACGATTCATCAAAAGCTACTACATTTCGAGAAGATGGAACACCAAGATGTTATACATAACTTTCAAGAATTCGCTCCCATAACTTTATCTTACTTAGATCTACCTCTGTATTTGCATCGGAGGTAATGGACATCCACGCCCAACATAAAGCCTCATTTTTTGCCGTGAACTAATTTCGATTTTGGGTAATCGGTTGTTGTGTAAAATGTTGGGAGTTACTTGATTAAGGATTAATGGAATCGGATTGAGTTTGAAAATATATCTAAGATTAAGAAAATAAAAGATGAAATAGCTTGAATGGTAGAGAATAAAGATGGTTAGATGTGATAATTGGTAGTAGAAGTTGGGGTATTTATAGAAGAAAAGTGAATTTTTTATTTTAAAAAAATTAAAATTAAAATTTTGTTTTTTTTTTTTTAATTATAGCTGTTAAAGCATTGTTTGTGTCAGTCAAGCAGTGTCTTAACGGTCAAATGCACGGTTTGTGATAGAAATTTAAAATTAAAAACAAAAAAAGGTTTTAAAATATCAATTTTTAAGGAAAAAAAAAAAGTTTTTTAATTTATTTTTGGCCCAAGTCAAAAAAAAAAAAAAATTTGGACAAAACCTAAACAATATGTTTTTTTATTGAATGAATTTTATTATTATTATTTTTTTAAAAAAGAGCTCAAAATAACCTCCCTTCTTCTTCTTTTTTTTTTTTTTTTTTTTTTTTTCCAAAAAAATCATGCTGCCAAATAGTAACGAGGTGACTTGGCAAAAAAAAAAAAAAAAACCCAAGGTAGCGCTTTTTCGCTAGCCAGTTCGCTAGCCGTGGTGGGCCTACTTCATTTTCGCTAGGCCACTTCTAAAGTAGAGATTGGACTATCGTGTGGGACCTACCTATATTAACTGGCTAAAAAACATTGCCCTTCGAGTACAAATAATTACTATAACAATCAATAAACCTACAACACAAGTTGATTGAGCTTTGAGTACCAACAAAATGGAATCTTATTTAGATACAAGAAGGGACCAAATGGTAGTGTGATAGGGTTTGGTATGTTTCTTGATAGAATCTCCCCAAGTATGTAAGTTAAAAATTTGAATCACATCGCTTACCCCTCCAGAAATTTCCACCACAAACCTTTCCCAGGTCAACAACCCACGTCCCAGGGCAGGCCGGAATTGATTCCAAAAGACATGGTAATTGCTGGAAAAAATGGCAATCACATTTGTCGGCAGAGATTTTAGACCTTGTGTCACCCTTTTCACATGGTAATGAAACATCTCAAATTTTTGAACCTGTTTCTTCTCATGAGTTGTCAGAGTGTGAGCGAGAGAATGTAGATATTGTTCCTCTAGTATATTCTCTTTGTTCAGTCTTCAAAAAGTATCTAAACAATTATGAGATATCATATCAGTCTATACATACAAATGCCAACAAATACGTCCCTACAATCATCCCCTCTTGGGACCAGCATCCTCACTCACTTGAACTCATGGGCTTGTGCATGTCCTATTTTCGGCTGAAAATTGGCACTAATACCATATGTCGCGACCAGCCCTTATGTGTAAATATTGTCCGTTTTACAAACTCCGTACAAACGGTTTTCAAAGCCCACGTCTACACAGTTGAGAAGATGTTCACGTCCACAACCTCTCTTTCCCTGGTGATGTTGAACATCACAGCTTTCACACAAATCGGATCACATTCAAATGCTAATTCCCATACAATTTTAGCATTACAGATTTACCATTTCACCTACTTGTCAGAGTTCAATCATGGATTTGTATTTTCAGCATGGTTTCTTATTCTTTAACCAGAAATAGTAAAAATAAATTAAAACAAGAACTCCATTATTTTCCGCTTACCATCTTTCAAATATATATATTTTTTTCTTCCAGAAAATTACATTTTGCAAACCAATTTAGCACAAAACCAGGTTTGATAAGTTAGAAAAAGAAAAACAAGGAAAAAGAAGAGGACAGAATGCTTTTTATTTTGGGCAATTACAAGAATTAACGAATGAGACTGCCAGTGATGGAGAAGCATTAAATAATATTTTGGGCAATTGCAGCATCAAATAATATATATACATATACAGATACATATACATATATATATATATATATATATATATTTAATTGCAGCATCAAATAATATTTAATTTGCCAATGGAAGTAAAATGCGATCTTGGAAAAAATGCTTCAGTTCACCTTCAAGGCTTCAAGATGAACTTTCCAGCCTCATTGTAATCTTTTTCCAACTGCTCGACCTTATTTATTCTGAAACCCCTGATCCTCGCTTCTTCGGGTACTGAAGGATCCTTGTAATCAACATTTTCGACGATCCATCCCTTGTTTTGCACCGAACCTCCCACTTTTACCTGTTAGCAGGTGACAATTTTCTTGTCATACATATATTTTCCAAAATCAATATCGAAAGGTCAGTCTCATGCACAAACCAAGATGCTGCATACCTCTGCATCATCAACTGAGTTGATCACAAGAGCTCCATCCAAGGAGAGATCCTCAAGAAAGATGTTACGGCCCTTAATGGCCATGGTAGATTTCTGAGACACCGAGCAGCTACCGCTCACTTTGTTTCTAACATCTGAAAAAGTAATGGCCCACTTTGGCTTCCATGTAATACGGGGCCATACTTCCACCTCTTGTCCATTGAACACATGGTGTACGGGATCATCTACCTTAACGCCAACCTGGTAACAAACAGGAACCAGAATGCATTTAGAATTACTACAGAATAAGTACTAATCCACGCGCATGCAAATGTGTTGTATGCAGTCAAAGTCCCCAACACTCTACTGATAATTAATATAAATTGATATAATAAGAATCTTTAAGCAACAAACTGCAAGGGCACTTCAATTTATAGAGTTGCCAAGATTGTGTTTCCCTGTATCACTTGGTTCTAGATTATATTGTTTTCTTACGAAGGCAAAGTTCTCAGCTGCCCCAATTCACAGGTCCCATCAAAGGTACATCTTGACATAACTACATACATAAATAAATACTATATACATATAAAGATGAATGCGCGTGTACATATATTGACGTGTTATTGTACAATGTGTTTAGATTGGATATGTATGTTTAATGTAGTATATGGTGAGATTGGAGACATTACGGCTAATGTTCTCAACTTGACGATGCTATTATCCTTCTTGCCTAAAATGAAGTTGTTCTGGAAATACTGATCAAGGATGAGTCTACCAATCGCCATTTACTTCAAAGATACCTTCTGAAGCATTTTTCAAATATCAGAGTTCAGTTTCTTCCTACCTAATTAGTAGGATCAGGAAGGATGCTTTTGTTTGGAATAACAAAAGCAAGTCAAACTCCATAAAATTAATTGAAAATGTGCAAATACTCCTACAAATAAAAATATGAAATGTGGAAGGTATTGTAAGAATTATATTTCTTTTATGGAAGTCTTTTTGTGGAGCATTCAAAAAGAAGAAAAAAGAAATGGGGGACAGAGCACTTCGCTGATCGTCATATGACCATGATTTTCCCAGTTTCAATGTTCTTCCCATGCAGGGCCCGAGAAATGTTGAAATTATGATGGCTGTCACATGTGCATGACAGTTACATGCAGATACAGTCATTCCTCGTTAAATTAGGTTCAGGGAATGCAACTGTAGAGTTGGGTTAGACATCTCTGAATAAAAAAATCTTCCAGTATTGAATGGATAATTGGAGGAAAAATACTCCAATATTGAATTAGAAGCAGATGTTTAACATATTCATAATACTAATGGGCAACTTTAGATTGTATAAAATGCTTAGGAATTGAAATTTATGCAATGAATCAAGATTAAGTAATATCCCAAATAAAAGTTGCTATTCTTACACCACGATTGTTTCTGGGCCACCAAATTTTCAGTTGCATGTCCATTATCAACCAAGTTATGCACGCCATATATCATTTGAATTGGGCCTCAGATGCCATACAATCCATTTTCTCACATTTCTTCTCCAGGGAAAAAAGAAAGAAAACTAAAACAGAATTTGAATAGGTAGCAGAATATGCAAAGTCATCTTTGATCACTTGGTCAATACTTGGACTGACTGAACATGCATTTTGGCAGAGCTTGGACCACTAACAGTCAGCCAAAATACAGTTCAATCCAAAGTACCATATTACTTATGTATTTTTAGTAGGAAATTTTATATGCTCCTATTTTGTTCAAATTCTAAGAAAAAGGTAAGCAAGACCAAAACAGCAAAACATGTCACGGAAAATTTTACACTAGCGAAAGATGGGTTGGTGAGAATATCAATAAAAAACTGTTGGCAGTTATTAAATCTAGCATAGGTTATATGTTGATGGTAGTGGAAGGTCACGGGTCTCTTCACTTTCCCTAGTTTGGAATTCTCACAGAAGTAAAACTACATTCAGTATGATCATATTGAATATATAAATTTACAGATACCAGAAGAGTGAAATATATACCTTCCTAAGAATTAGGCTGTTTGCCCGATAGATTGCCGTTTCTCCAGAAGTAGCACTGTGGTATGGATTCCCCTTTGGTACCTTTAGTTGAGTTCAAACAATTAGAAATATGACAATAATTCTCTAAGTTAAAAAACATCAAAACACATTACTACTTTGTGATTTAAGTTGGGAAAAGAAATGTTATTAATAAAAGATAATCTAAAAGGAAATACTAACAATTAATAGAAAAAATAAAGTAAAAAATAACCTAATAAATAGTGAGAAATGGTATGCTACAGATAATTTTCACCACATAAATACTGAGTGGTACAGGACCCATCACAAGATGGACCTCCATAAAGAAAATGTCTGAAAAAGTTTACCATAATTAAAAAAAATTCCAAATCAATTTATTAAAAAACAGCCATTTTTTATTATTTAAATTAAAAAAATTTATAAAAATAAAAAACCTAATCACCATGATAATTTTATCATGACAAGGTTGAGGTGGGGACCACTTAGACTTGGAGCCCAACCTTTTCTTGCATGCCATATGGGTGAGAATTGTAACTCGTTAGGATGTCCAAGTACATATATATACACAATTTTCCAGCTACCTTTATAAACAAGATTATAAGGACTGTAAGAAGCAGTTTATTGCCAAATATTTACCTTAGCAGCATCCTCGGGGTTGTTCTTCACAGGTGCATAAGCAAGCCATGCATCCATTACCTAAGAAGTCAAGAAGAAATCACTTTTCATACTGAACTACAAGTTGGAAACAGCAACTATATAACAAATATATATTTTTTGATAAGTAAGCAAATATATAACATATACTAACAGATAACATAGAATTAAACAGACAATATCAATCAGGAGATTCAAAATGTTTACTTACAGTAAATCCAACCCTTGCTGATGGAGGCAATGTTTTAGGATAATCTTGCATCATACACTCTAGTCGAGTTGAGGATTTAAAAGCATTTTTACTAGAATCTTTATATCTGTAGTAAGAGGGACACCACGTAATCAAGGGTGTAAAAAAAAAAAAAAAAAGAAAAAGAAAAAGAAAGCTTTGCAGGGGAAACAGAGACAAAATCGAAACAAGTCATTTCACCAGCTGTGAAATGGACAACAGTACAACCATAAAAACTAAACAAGAGAGTGAGATTCTATTTTGGTGAACAAAAAGTGGAAAGTTAAAAGTATCTTGATTTACAAGGTTGGACTTCACAGCACAAAAGTGTTACACAGTTGTTTAAATGCTATGTCTTATACTAAGTTGGCCAAACAAAAAAAAAAATTAAAACATACGAGAACTTAAAATTTAGAAGAATAACAATCAAATGCAGCACCACTAGAGAATATTCTGCAATTTCAAGCACTTAACAAGAAATAAGAGGAAAGCATAATTGGGATGATAATAGGATTGCATGGTGGTAAAATTCATTGTCAGCTCCCATTGCTGTTGCAGCTCTCTCAAGAAGCTCAACATCTTATGACGGAAAAGATAGAATACATTTGCTGTTTTTTCTTCTCCCACCTTTGTCATGGAGTACATGTACATCACAAGTTACCCCTATAAACATCTTCACTTCCATTGGTTTTTCAATACATAATACTTTCCATGTGAAATTTGTCATATTATGCATCAAAATATACCGATAATTATGCCAAGACATATAATATAAGTAAAATGGTACACCTGCATGCATCACGTTACAATGTAGCTTTCTATCATTCATTATTAATATAAAACCCCAAGAATACCACTTTTACAATACAAATCACCACTACTTTCACCTTAATTGGAAACAGAATCTCCACCTACACCTTCTTGAAATCCATGCTGCCACTACCACAATCATCGCTAACACCATTTCCAAAATCTCCCTAAAGAGGTTTTAATATATATCTAGAACATATATCACCAAAATACCACTTTGCCTATCTTTAGGAAAATCAGGGTAAGAGCAAGGAGCATGAGCTTTGAAATGTCAAAATTTGAAAATATATAACAGAGCGCAACATGTATACTAGAATATGAATTTACATGTCATAGTACTAGAATGTAGCGCTGGTAATGCCTGCACAGGGTGCTAAGAGGAGATGACTATGATGCACAAAGTGGCTATCCTCAAGCTTGAACATTTACACTCTTTTCAGCCTGAACCTTTACCATTTCATCGTGTATCCCCTAGTTGAAAGTCAATATGTAATTGTGAAAAAAGTTTCATGTATTTTTCATGGTTGCCAATGGTTCTAAGAATTTAACTTGTGATCCGTAGTATTTTTCTATTTCTTCAAGAAAATAAGAAAGCATTTTGAGAAGTAAGGGGTACAAGGAAAAAGCCAAAACAAGAGCAACTTTTCTTTAAACATTCTCAAAATCCAGTCTAGCAATCCAAAAGTAACCAATATGCTGTATCACAAGAAACCACAATAAAACCCAATCACGCAAGCAAATTTATTTCATTTCAAACAATCCCTTCAAAAAATGTACATTCTTCAAGAAGACTTATTAGGTAACTGTTCGCCAAATGGGAATTCTATTGTTCATCCATTTCTAGGCACCCAAGTTATATAATTAATTATTAATGAAAAATAAATCATAGCAAAGCACATGCTTAGGTTCAAAATTGGGAGCTTTAGGTCATCTGAATGAAAATAAAAGTAAATAACAAGTGCTTTTTGTGGACTTCTCCAAGTATGTGATTTGATATTTAGACTCTGAAACAATTTTAGCGAACATAACAATCAACATATTTACCCAAACTAACCAATCTACTGACTAGGGAACCAAATTTTAAGGATTTTTGTAGTAGAACTACTACATTATTACCTAGACAATCCTCTGAGTATAATATGTAATACTTGTGCTACCAAGTCATAACAACCCGTATAAGTTCTTTAATGGTAGCTGGCGAACACAATTCCTGCCAATTTAAGTTCTCTGACAGTATCTAGGAACCACCAAGCTGGGGAATATGAGTTCCTGCCGATGTAAGTTTAACAGTATCTGGGAACCCAAGCTGCAGAACAAAGAATGCTTGGATAGCCAAAGTTTGAATGTTAGTTCGAAAAGATTACACGGAATAATAAGCCCCATGGGCCATGGGTATTCTGGAGACAACTCTTATAGAACACAAAAGTTTTGAGATCCCACCTCTTTATATTAAAATTTTCAATTCCCAATTATCTTGACTTTTTGTTAAAGTTACTAATTTATATCCAATATTTGTTTTAGCCGAAATAATTGATCCCTTAAAAAAATTAGGCAAATTTGTCAAGTTTCAACAGAGAGGCAATTGGTTTTCATTAGGGTCATTTTTGAAATATCAAGAATTATAATTGGCTTTTTACCTTGTTGGCTTCAAAGAAGTGTCAAATGACTAAACATGACACTACTTTATTAAATGATTTTTATCTGCACTAAAAAAGGTCAATTATTGAGAGGTGTATTTGCTTAATTTTTTAAGTAAAGATTGATAATGCCATTTCTCAAAAAGAAATTCTCGAAAGTTTATAAGTAAAAGCAAATGAAGAGCCCCTGAATAAATCATATGTTTGACCAAACTATTTTGTATTTTTATAATGAATGTGATTTTAACATTTAAGTTACTATGTGCTGTATTCTAAGAAGCACGGACACGGATACGGGACACGGATACGACACGACACGGACACAGCGATACGGTAAATCCAAAAAAATTAGGACACGGACACGGCGAATAGTATATATATATATATATATATATATATATATATATATATATCAGCATTAATAATTTTTTAAAAAAAACACTAATATGTTTAGGTTGGAATATATATATATATCACTGATATGTTAGTATATATATATATCAGCATCTTTAGGACACGGACACGGCGAATTGTGGCATCTTTAGGTTAGTATATATATATATCACCATCTTTAGGGTAGTACAAAACAAAAAATAGAACATATCAGCATTAAAAATTTTAAAAAAAAAAAAAAAAAAATTAACATATCAGCATTAAAAATTTAAAAAAAAAAAAAAAAATCCAGAAAAGTGTGTCCGAGCCGTGTCTGAGCCGTGTCCGAGCCGTGTCCGAGCTGTCCAAGCCATGTCCGAGCTGTCTGTGCCGTGTCCAAGCCGTGTCCGAGCCGTGTCCAAGCCGTGTCCAAAAATAAATAAAAATAAAAAAAATTCCAGACACGTTTTTTGGCGTGTCCGACACGTGTCGGGGTGTGTCCGACGCGTGTCCGTGTCCGACACGTGTCGGACACGGATTCTTCGCCCATTTTGGAGTGTCCGTGTCCGTGTCTTAAAGATGCTGATATATATATATACTAACATATCAGTGATATATATATATATATATTCCAACCTAAACATATCAGTGTTTTTTAATATTTTACTTATTCAAAACCAGCAGCAGCACCACTGCTTTTGTACTACACATATCATCATCCGAATCAAAGAAGTTTCTATAAAAAATAAAAAAAAGAAGTAAACTGAAGGATCAGTGTAAATAACAACACTACAAAGCATCATAGCAACAAAAGCTTTAAAGAGGTTTGGTCAAAGTAGGAAGACAGAACAAAAAGAAATTACTTGGGGTTAACAAACTCCTTTATAGCACCTCTGGTTTTTGTAAGTTCCTCGATGTAAGGGCCAAGTTCAAGTATCAACTGCACATAACATATACAAGTCAAGCCTTAGCATGAAACTATTACCACTTGCATAAATTTATAGAGGTATCTCAAAACTCATCAAGAAAGTCATTTGATCATTCACCATCAACATACAATGAACCTTATGCACACTCCTTTTTGAACAAGGTTTGCAAATATATGTCAAACACCATAATAGATATTTGACTTGAAAATTTTATATCCTTTTATCATTCAGTTCATCTAATTTACCATATTCTTTTAGTCAACCGGAAATTTTTTGATGAAAAAAAGATGCTAGAGATTGTTTCTGGATCAAATTATTCCAAACATCTAAGCATGTAATACGTTGGGAATTCCTTGAGTGCAGACTGTGAATCTCGAGCCACTTCTCTCAAAGCTCACATGTAAGACTTTGTGTACGCGTAAAAGTCACTCGTGCTAGTACAAGCACTTGCATGAGCGTGTGCACATTTGAAGAAAGATAAATGATGAAACACGAAATTCAATATACAGGATACCATATGAGGCAATACTCTGCGCCATCACTTTGATCCAAATTAAATTAGAATTTTTAGTGCTCTCAAGTAATAATTTATTAAAACAGGAAATGAAGAATGGCAGAAAGAATTTCTTAAAAACAGTTAATTGAATTTGAGAGAATTAGACCACAACAACAAGTGAATCAATTCATAAGAGTTTTAAGAAAGAGAAAATTTAAAGACGACTTTGTTGAGAGAGAATTACAGAGAAGAATTTGAAGTTATGACTCCTGAGTCCTGACAGAGGGGAATGGCAAGACTCAATTATCTGACCTCAAATAAATGGAAGGAATGAGACTTTGAGTTGAATTGAATTCTTCATATTTAACAAATAATTGTTTAAAAATTTTTTCATAAGCATCAAAGTTGTTTTAGAATTGATGATGCAATTCTAACCCTAGGTATGATGCTTCTAGAAGTTCTAACCCTAAAAATTCTTTCCACTAGTTTTACACTTACATACTTGCAACCATACCTTGTTGACCACACTTTGAACACCAAAAACAACCCCGGATTTCTTTAAATGTTAGCCCAAGATCCCACATTTGTAATCTTAAACATTCCCTGCCATATACATTTGTCCAAACACATAATACCTCCAAAAATTCCACCTTCACTATCCTCCTCCTAACATGCATTACCTTCAAAAATGCTACAGTCCCAGAAATTTCAGTAGCCTGCTTCCAGAAGTTCTAGCAACCAGACACCTCCAAATACTCACCAAGTCCAACCCCTTGTACAGGCTTATTTGCTTCTTAGCATCCAGTGTGGATCCGATCATTGATTTGGGAGGGACGGACCAGGTATAGAACAAACTGTTGACATATTTGCACAAAAATGATTGCTGTCAGATTCAAATCAGCATTCTAATGCTTGGCAGTCTGAATTTTTACCTTTGCAACTTATTAAAACGAAAAAAGAAAATTATAAATTTTCTACATCTTAAGCCCACCAAATTACTAATTACACATGATTACTGTTCTTAGTGTTCAATCACCATGCGTCAGACTCATAAATGAGTGTTTCTTAAATTCATCCTACACCAACAAGTCAACCTAACAAAGGTCTTAAGATATGGGGTCAGCCTACAATGTTAACCACCATCAACTCTAAAAATTTAAGCTATTAGAGAGAGTATAACTTTGATATTTATATCTTCTAACATGCCCCCTCATATGTGACCTTCTCTTGGTCCAACACGTGTTTAATTTTAATGACAGTGACAGTGAGACTTGGAACTTGAGACCTTTTGACTCTGATACCACGTTAACCACTATATATTGTAAAAGATTAACACGCAAATGGTTAAGGGCCTAAATGTTATCAAGGCTCATTCCCAAGCTTACCAAGTTACACTAAGCAATTATCATAAGCCCTTGAAATTGAAGATCCTCCAGAAAAATAACAGTCACACATATATAAAAGAATTCAAAATTATTAACACATAGAGTCAATAATCACCCCAGAAAACAAGTGGCTATGAGATGAAAAACAGGAGAACAAAAACACTTGCTTTTAGAATATATGCATGTCAGGAAACAAAATTAAAAATAATAAAAAAATTACTGAGAGTCTGGCAGAAATTTACTTGGTTTATATTCCCAGGAAAAGGAGAAAAGCCTGTTTCACAGTTGGCGTCGCCATCAGCATATCCAGTAGCTCTAAGCAGAGGATCAAGTTGATTGTATTCCACATTAATCACCATCGTCCTACCTGAAGTCAGTTTGTATTTTCAATAAATAAATACAACGTTGATATATAAATTTTAGTGCCCAGATGATATGATATAAAATTTTCTCTTACATGCTTGCTTCATGTTTTGGAAGCCGAAGATCTTAAATAAAAAATTAATGTAAATAATACTTTTTTAAAAAAACAAATCACACATATTATATATATATCCACAGCCACAGGTGATAACCCATGCTAGTTAAGTATATCTTCACAATTCAAGCTCTATACATCTAAAGCTGTGGAAGGCAGAAGAAAGCGTTCTATAGGACCTTGCATCTATACGTTAATATAAACCTGGAGTGCGAGAATAGAGAAATCAAACATTTAAAATACAAGATCAAAAGCAGAACAGTCAACCTCTATTGAGCAAATTATTATTTTCTCACCTAATTGATGAAATCTATCTTTTTTCCCTTCAACGATAAATTTATAGAAGAAAAAAAAAAAAAAAAAAGCCTCATTAGGCAGCATAATCTTTTGTTTCTCTATTTTTTTCCTGCACACCATGTTGGTGCATATGTTCAATGATTTGGGAATAAATAATAACAAGATCTTCTCAGTGGTAAAGGCAGCAAGACTAAGTCCTAGAAACTCGAACATAAATCACTTGAACAGGCAGACTGAAGCAAGGTCGTAGACAGATAAACCTTAGATCAAGAACATGGTGATGATGTAACTTACAATACACAAGTTAAAAGACCCGTGTGAAATTGAAAACAACATCAGCAGTTCAGTGACCTAACTTATGATACACATATTAAAAGACTCATGTGAAATTGAAAACAACATCAATAGTTCAGTGACAATAAGAAATGTTAGAATGTTATATATATATATATATATATATATATATATACATGTGTTGGGTCATTATGTAATTACATATAGTTGATAGGGCCCTTGTGTTATTAAGTAAGACTTGTACTCTTTATATAAGCCTACATAGGCTTATTAGGTTTACTAAGTGTTGAAATACAAGAAATGGTTGCTCTCTCTCTCTCTCTCTCTCTCTCTCACATATGATTTTGAACATGGTATCAGAGCAAAACGATCATGGGTGTGAGAGTCTGTAATTGGGTTGTTCTTGTATAAGATCGGCATCGCAATTGTGGTGTTGGTGGTCTCTGCCGGCAGTTCCTTATTCGTCGCCATCATCAGCTGATCGTTCACCGTCGTCAGATCTGCAGCCGCGTTCGTCACCGTCAGATCTGAAGCTTGTTCGTCGTCGTCTCAGCCTTGTTCGTCGTCGCCGGTAGCTCCTCTTTGGTTGTCAGCGAGCTTGCCGACATCTGCCGTCTCGATTTGCAGAGGTGAGGTTCATCTTTTTTGGCCGGAAGTTGCAGCGGTCGCTGCTTATTGATTCGGCCGTTGCTTGTGATTGAGTTGCCGTTGCCGTCGCCTCCGCTGCGTTGTTCACCAGCGTTTGTGAAGGTGTGAAGAAAAAGACCCATGTTTGGCTACACGGTTATGCTATTCCAACCCTGGTTTACTAAACCTGGGATAGCTATTCCAACCCTGGTTTATTAAACCTGGGATAGCCCAGATCCGGCCCGTCCCTAGTTTACTAAACCTGGGATAGCCCAGATCCAGCCCGTTTGACCAGATCCAATCTTGTGTTTCATGAGAGGACCAAACATATTGAAGTTAATTGTCACTTCATTCGGGAAAAAATATTCCGTGGAGCATCTCTACTCCATTCGTGAAGTCTAAAGATCAATTAGCTGATATGTTTACCAAAGCATTGGGTCATAACCAGTTAAGAACTATCTGGTCCAAGCTGGGATTATTTGATATATATTCTCTAGCTTGAGGGGGAGTGTTAGAATGTTATATATATATATATATATATATATATATACATGTGTTGGGTCATTATGTAATTACATATAGTTGATAGGGCCCTAGTGTTATTAAGTAAGACTTGTACTCTTTATATAAGCCTACATAGGCTTATTAGGTTTACTAAGTGTTGAAAGACAAGAAATGGTTGCTCTCTCTCTCTCTCTCTCATATGATTTTGAACAAGAATCATTATAGTTATCCCCATTAACAATGACAACAAGCAGATTTTTTATCAGAGCATATTGCACAGGATTAAAGTTGCAATAGATCCCAACTAAACAAATGACTCAAGCTATGCCTGTGCGCTCTTCACCTTACATTAACCTCTGACACTCATTTATTTCAGAAAACCTATTGAATTTAAAGGGAGGGAAATGCCCAAGTTATCTAGTGAGGTGCTGGCAGAGTTGGCACCGTTAGTATTTCTGAAATTACTATTCCATTCTTTTCATTTTTAAAGTAAGAAAATAAAGGATAGTTAATTTGGTAAGTTGTTTGTACATCCATAAGGAGAATTGGCTTCATAACATAGTCTAGATGATCAAAATGTGAAGTCAGACTTCCTTGAGAATAATTTCCAGTCAGTGACAACTTTCAGCTCACTGCAATGAATAGTTTATATAAACTACAAAAAAGATAGAATGTTACAATTAAAATGTACCATCAGAATGAGTAAGTCTGGTAATTCCTCCAATAGCCTCTTTGGCTTTTCGAGGGACAGCAAGAGAATTAACATGGTACTGTTTGGTGGCACTAACACCTAATGCAGCTGGGATTGCCTGAACATATAAAAAAGGAAAAAGTATATATTTTTTAGCTTGGCAATGTGGAAAATGATAATTATATCCACTTTATATTTAAACATAACTCTTCCCTAGGAAAAATAGATGAAGCCACAAAACATCAAGAGAACCTTGAAAAGAAGTCCATTTGTATCTTGGAAAAACAGAACCCATCTCAAACCAGCATCACGCCTGATAAAACAATGACATGGTTAAATTATGAAGTTGCAGATTGCATAACAGGCATCAATTTGATAGAACTTCTATCCTTTGTAATCAATAGAATAATAGATAAATTTCAGTCTCTAAGCTTCAAAACAAAAATGCAGGGAAAATTTAAAAACATATGTCAATTTTCCATATCAAAATCCCAACATTACTTACGGCTAAAAACAGACACATCTATGAGTAAATAAAGAGTTTTCAGTTCATATGAAAGGTTATCTGTTCACTCTGACTACATAATTTAAAGTGGGTTATAGGCTTTGAGTTTTAACCTCAAGTAATAAAGACATAATACACATGCACAATAACACATTTTTGAAAAAAAAAATCTTGCCATCGTAAATCAGACATCAAAATTGGCATATAAATGAAGGCAAATGTGGATAAACAAGAACAAAATTCAACAAAAAGGTCATAGTAGACAACATACCACACATTTAAAAGGCCGCTAGAATAAAGAAGTGAATGAACATCACCATGGCCATGAGGTTTCGTCTATGACACAGACCACAGAAAAGACAATAGAAGAAAATTCTACCATCAGAGATAGTGAAAAAATGCTAAATTAATTAATTGCTAAAATTGTGAGCATACCAATAAAACAAATACTGTAAATAACACAGAGCTACCTGGATTCTGTATTTATTATGTGGGTCCATGGCAAGCCTGGCATCATTGTCATCTAAGCAAGCAACTTTTTCCTGGAATGATAGGAACGTTAACGTGTAAATATTCCATTGAAAATCATAGTGAACTTTCTTTATATTATTTGAATTGTTACCTGCTTTAGAAGTTTTACTTGCGTAGATTTCATTCCAAAATATGCATTTGATTCTAAAAGCTCTAAAATACGTAAATGTGTGTCATCAGACGTCATTATAACCAAAGGAATCTGTGTTTGGCATCCGCCTACAAATTAAAAATTACAACATTAGCTGACAAAATAAGAAACTTCTATTTTGTTAATGCTGACATCACGTTTTTGAGTTTTTGGTGAACATCAATGAGGGATTTCAAAAGATTTAGTGCTTGCTAAGCAAAATAGGAAGACACAAAACATGTAAGAGCCAGTACTATCTTTAGAGCTCTAAAGGTTTGTTAACCTATGGGAATTACTAAAGATACTAATTTTTTTCCAAATTTCTCAACTTTTATGCTCGGCTATAGAAACTTTTTAAGATAAGAAAGATGTTTCCACCATTTCTTTTTTATCCACTTGAAGATAAGAGCCCCTATCACCATAGTTGGTAGTATCTGAAGCCATCATAGCATCTTGTTTCAAGAAAACAATCCCAATAGCAACAACAGGGGCCTTGGGGATAAAAGACAACTGAAAAACCAGGTAGAGTGACAATTTGGGTCTTAAGGTATGAGATCCAGAATTATCTTTAGACTACATAGTTACAGGCCATAGGTAAAAACAAACCTTGCACTTGTCCACAGCTAGCATCTTGTAAAGCTAGAATGGACTCAATGTACTGCTGTAAGAAACCTGTTCCGGTGGTAGACTCTGAAGGAAGAGCCACCTGCAAGAGGCAACCAAAAATATTTATAAGCATTGTAACTAATTTAAGACAAATAACCTGTCCCTTTTAGAACTATTTACATGGATATGTCCTATACGCTACAATTACATTTGAAAACCAAGACATAGTCTCCTAATGATATAAGATGATGAACAGTTTTAAGGAAATTGTTGCAACAGCAAAAGTTTTGTTCAACCTAAGAATTAAATGCTCACATAGGCGTATGAATAAAGTACCTTAATTCCATTGTATCCAAGACGTTCCCCAAGTCCCCCTGCTACAAGAACAAATGCAGCATTCCGTGCTTCCCTGACACCAGTCTCCTCAAATTGAACAAAGTGATCATCGCCAAAAGTCAGAATCTCTCCCGACGGAACCTGCAAAAATGTTTCATACACTATGTAGATATAATTTCAATGTTGTTATCAAGTTCACAAGAAATGGTTCAGCGCAACTCCTCTGCAAGTCAAATACATGCACTGTGAATGTATTGGAAGACAGCCATCGCTCTAAGCATAGACTCAATATCCCGGTCCGACTAATTGGAAATTGGGTTATATTACAAAAGGAGAATGTGTAAAGTACATCATACCAACTACTAATTGTAAAGTATTTGAGCAGCCAATTAATAGATTCAAGAAGAGATCAGTTGTATAAAGATTGAATTATTGCCGGTAAAGATGAATAGCACACTGTAAAACAACTTCACAAGGAAACTGATTCAGACCTTCAAGTAGAACAACAAAATTTATGGTTGTGTCAGGATTATTAGTCAATAGTAGAGCTCAAGTACACATCCTTAACTCAATAGATTAGGAGATATTTGTGTCTAAGGGAGTCTGTTAATCCTGGTCCGAGTAATTGAAAATTGGGTTATATGAGAAAAGGAGAAAGTGTAAAGTACACTTTATGATGCTTTAGCTTTTCCATATTTATGATGCTTTACTTATGCAACTCAGCTCAAACCTGAATCCCCATTAATTGAGTTCAGCTATGAGGATTCTTCTTCTCCAGTTGGTTTTTAGTATTGATGCATTACTTATATTATCTATAAATCTCGTAAATCATTTAGCAGTCTATCTAATATTGAGTAGTAGACAATACACCTCAGTCTACTATTTAATCAGTTGAGTCTAATCACATCAACTGCCAATTTACTTTGACCATACAATTGAGGGTGTAATGGTTGTCAGAATACATTAACATAATTTGGGTCAATTAAAAATGATTATAAATGTGTACAAGACCCATAAGTTGCAAATGTAAAGAATATATTAACATAATTTCAGAACAAATTTCAAAAGTAAGTTAACTTACAGAAGGTGTAAAACCATCAAATGGGTTCTTCCCCGCCTTTGAATCTGCTAAGAGTTCTCTGGCAGTTTTGATATATGATGCCAACCCACCAGGATAGTTTGCATTAAGTCGAGCAACCTAAAAGAAACAGCTATAGTTCATAAAATTTAAAAAATAAAATAATAAGGTATAGGAACAATACTTCTAACACGAATTCAAGTGAAATGTTACGCCATAGAGATAAAGATGAAGCAGATTCAAAAGGGAAGATAAAAGTCAAACAGTACAACCTGAACTTCAATTAATTGTAGTATTAAAATTTCTCTTCTTAAAAGTAGCTATGGAGGCTCTCAGGCTCAGTATAAAATTTTAAGTACAACTGTATTAATTGCCAGATTTAGAATAGAGTAAGTCTATGATGAGGGCAAACTCACAGTAAGAGCGCCCTTATTATAGCTTTTACCTTGGAAAAAATCCAAACTTTTCAATTCTTATGCTTGTTTTCAAACTGAATTCCGCAAACTCTGAATGAATTTTTTCAACAGTGTCCCCGGTTTTAATCCAAAAAATATGTATATATTCACAACTCAACATAATTTATGATATTATATAGAGAGAGAAGCATTGATATTGCATAGCAAGAATGATCTGCAAAATTGTTCACATTGACATTGCATCAATTCAAATATAGAAACCTTCATATACCTGATCGAAGAAAGCACGCTTCTCATCGTCGTGGACGCCAGGCTCAGCCCAATGCTGGAACAGATGGCTCTGTCCGACCTCCAACAGCAGCTTCGCAAGCTCAACCTACCACACAACATCGTGTATTCCAATCAATCCAATCAAATAAAGAAACTAAAAAAATCAAACCATTTCAATTATACATATACATATATATATATGAACCTGGTCAGGGGAGAGTTGGGGAAGGTTTTTGAGGAGATTCGGAGCCGAAGATGCGAAATCGCCATTCATATCAAGCACGGAGGCCATTACGTAAAGTGAATCAAACGATTTGCAGAGATTTTCTCTGCAACGAAGCGATCAATAAAAAGCTTGTGACGATAAAGAGTCGTTTTGAAACTGATGCTATAAACAAAGTGAGACCAAGTTATATATAATTATGTATTTATTATATATATATATATATATATATATATATATATGTAATGTATGTATTTATTGCGGATCTGGAGGAATGTATGTGTGTGCGAGAGACCGGAAGGAACCGGCAAAATGAATTGATGGTTGGTTTGTTATGAATAGGCCTTTTACCGGTTCAGGTAGAGTTTGAATTTGGTTGCCAGGTATATTCGGTTAGACACTTGGAATAGAATCGAAACTCTTCGCCAAGAGATGAGACAGACAACACCTTGAGGGTTTGTTTAATTGACTCACTTTCCATTTTTACAATTGACTGACGTGGAAATCCCTAAATTTATACTCAGTACTTCGTTTATTCTGGCTTTACAATTGACCAACGCCTCTAAATATATATGAAAATTGACTACTTCTTTTATTTGACTTTTTTTTCTTTTTTGCCCTTTATTTTTGGTTAAATTTCTTCTATCCGACTGTACCATCAACTACAGTAACAGTGTTTCTTTTTTCAACCTTCACTGAAAATTCTCATTTCCTCTTTTTTCTTAGGCCTAATGTTGCTCACTAGCCATGCCTGCAATCCAGGATTTCAGTTCGGAGAAGTGTTTGAAAAAAAAAAAAAAAATGGGAGAAAAATAAGAAAAAGGAAAATGACAGAACTTAGAAAGGGAAAAAATTAGAGTTTAATTTAACAAGAAAATTTTAACTTTTTTTTTTTTTTTATAAGTAAAAATTTTAACTTTTTTTTTTGAAAACGGAATTTAAAGAGTAAAATTAAAAATTAAAAAATTAAGGGATAATTTTAAAAACTAATAATTGTAGGGGGTTTTTATATAAATAAAAAATTATATATGTATATGTAAAAAATAAAAAATTACCATCTGTATTATAGAGGGTGGAGTCAGGCCAGGGGACAAGTGTCGCTGGCATACCTCGTTTCGCCCTCACAAATCACACATACATCTACTGGCGATAATACGTATCATTTAAGCCAAAGTATTTTTGCGCATTGTAAGAATCGAATTCAATACATCCAAATTTATGGTTTGCCCCAAGCGATCCCTTATTCATGAATTTTTTTTTCTTATACCGAGAATACCATGTCATTTGTGTCACCAACCAATGATGTATCATCACATAAGTAAAAATATAACTATTTAAATGGGTCTTATTAGTATCTGCAAGTTAAGCCTTATGTGTTCTCTTGAACTCCTTTGTCGAACCGTTAGATTATGATTTTGATTTCCATATATATGGTACTTACACACACACATTCATTGAAGGTTATGATTTTGTTTTCCATATATATGGTACTCACATGCACATACTTTCTTTGAAGATTATGATTTTGCTTTCCATGTATATGGTACTCACACGCACACACCTTCATTGAAGATTATGATTTTGTTTTCCATGTATATGGTACTCACACGCACACACCTTCATTGAAGTTGAGGCTTGAATCTTTAACGTCTATCTAGGAAGTAAGATCTCATATCACACACATGCCTCCACTTAGTCTTAAATCCCAAGACCTGATGTGCTAGGCTAATTGAACTATTGTTTCCCATGTATTTCCTTACACTTCAATTCTTTGTGTGTGTTTTTTTTTTCCTAAATTTTTGTAATTTCTTCCCAAAATTAGCCATTTGATTGACTTTTTCCGTCAGGGAATTATTGGATATGATTAAATTAGTTTGAGATCCTTAATTCCAACAAAAGAGGAAAGAGTGAGAGGAGGGATAATGGGATATACCTTTCGAAGAAAAAATAAATAAAAAATAAAAATCCATGAGGAGAAATACGTGAAAAGAAACTTGATGGAGTAATTTTAAGTAAGCAGAATTGTACCATACGTAGCAAATGAATGTTGTCCACCTCTTGAGTCGATTAACATTTTGTTATTTTTTAGTCGTTCAATGTAGCAATACTCATTATATATATATATATGAAAAAGATAGAAATTAAAATCCACTGATATGACAATAGTTAAACTAAACACTGAGACTCTATTTTATTGAAAAATACGTAAGACTGAAATGTAAAAAAGTGTACCAATTTATTTATTTATTTATTTTATTAACAAGAAATTCACTCACATATTTATTTTTATGGGAACGTGAACTCTAAGAAGGTAGAGTGTATGAACTAAATTACCCATGACCTAAATTGCCATATACAAAAGAAGATTAAGCAACATGTTAATGACCCTATACCAGCATGTTAGTGGACTGATTTAATTATCAAAAGGATAAGATTATTGCACATAAGGTGGGATCCACTCTATATGTGAGAGATGATTTCCACCCTTCGTTAGTGCACGGACAGAATCCTCTCTTGGTCTCGGGACCATCATGGAATTTAGGTGCACTGAAGAGTTCGAATCCTTGGCACCATTAACCATCATTGTGGTTGGTGACGTGAGTTTGGTTGTTTGTTTGGTGCTAAGAAAAAGAAAGTGGTTAGTTTGTTGGTTAGTTTGTGATTAACTTTTTTTTTCTTTCTTTTGTTGTCACTAGTATGAAAAGGTTAGACGACCACCCAAATAACATATTCAGTTGCAGATGTGATGCAACTGTATAGGGTCCCACCTCCATCACCCATACCCTTTTACATGAGCAGAATGTTGGAATTGATAGGTTGGTAATATTAAAGGAAAAAGATATAATGCATCTTTAGAAAATTAGAGCTAGCACCAATTATTGGGCCAACATCATGAAAGAAATGCTGCTAAAGTATAGTAATCTTTAGAAAGTTAGAGCTAGCACCAATTATTGGGCCAACATCGTGAAAGAAATGCTGCTAAAGTATAGTCTGGTCCTATATATATATATATATATATATATATATATATATAGCAATAATTATGTGAAAAGGTTTGTGTTGACTCCAAACTTCCCCACCCAAAATATTCCACAAATAGTGCAGTTTTGCATTCATGACTCAATTGAACCAGTGAATTGATGTAATTAGCATGTCTATTGTCTAGAAATGCTAGGATAGGGCTTCATAACTACTTCAAAATACATGTTTCATGAGGTGAATTTCACGAATAACAAGAAATTGTTTTATATATATATATATATATATATATATATATATATATATATATATATATCTTGACAAACCGGGGGAAGAAGGATTTGAATATGACCACACCTGCTCGGACATTGATTAATTTGAAAGATGTTTGAAGCTTCATAAGATTACATCACTAGTCTAGAAAGAGCATGCGGGATGTACGTCGACTCATATTCACACACTCGTCGGCTCGAGATATTTGAAACTGGAAATTAGATAAATTGTTTGAAAATTTGATCAGGTGTCAACTAATTGACTAAAGGTATTTATGTACATAATGCAAGTCTGCAACCTTGGATCACTTGTAATGCACATACTACCATTGAAGTTGATGTACTCATATTACTGACATGTTACAACCCTCAAACTTTATTGCCACTCTGTGTTTTGTGTCCCTAAGGTTTGACATTTTGGTTCTCAAGCTTGTTGGTTTACATCTTGAATTTGGTCATCACTGTAATTAAATCCAATGCGTGGTTTCCCCATGCTGAAGTTGAGCACCCTTGCATTCATGTTGTATCTGATTTCCCCATCATACAGCAGCTTCCGAATGTAGTGCTCTATGTCCGATCCGATTAGACGGAGCGTGTATTCTGTCAATGGTGCACCCTGCAGATTCCACATTCAGTTTGTCAACAACAATTAAATCAAACACAACAGTGATGGCAAAGAAAGGCTAGATCACATTTTGAAATTCATTAATTTATTGAACATCGTTTGATGAGTTAATGAGCATCCTATAGTTACATATAGCCCTAGTCAATTTGAGTTTGGATTGAGATCGCTTATGAAATAAATAATCCATCTTCAATATTCATCAGGCACTTGGTTTCCACTTCTTAAAATGTGGCCTTTAATGGTCAATTTTGTATATCATATACGTGTACAAATATATACTCCGTAGCAGGTTGTGGTTAAGTTTTACTTTCTTTCCTTACAGCTTGGAAATGAAACAAGCATTGAAGAATTATAGTCACAGATAAACCAAGCACTTGAAGAACAATTCTATGATTTAATGCAATGTTCGTGACATATCTCATCTCAAGTTCATCAATTTAGAACTTCAATATTCCCGGATTGGGAATAAATATTGACAATCAAATTTAGTCTCAAAAATCGAACTCAAGAGTTGACATTCTTAGATAATCAACAAAAAAATCTGTTGGAATTGTAGGAGATGTGACCCACATGGCCACAAGGCACACCCCCATGGTTCCAAGCTCAAGCCTTCTTGCAATACTTACATGGAGCCCGCCCAAGCCAGGCTCGTGTGTCTCTCTTGCTCACACGAGGAAATGGGTCATGGATGGGTTGAAAAGGAGGGCCCTTAACCTATGAACTCTTACTCCATAGGCCCAGTCAAAGATATGATGAAGCCATGTACCTCGACTGGGATACTGATAATCACATTAATGATCCGCTTTGTGAAATGATGTACATTCAATGTATCAATACTCACACTCGAGCTAAAAGATCAAGTTAGCCCTATCAAGTCTAATAGGGTCACGATGACTACCTTACTAAGGTGGGTCACCTCAAGGCTTTCCTCTCGAAAAACAAGCTCATGGCTGAGACTATAAATAGAGACCTCCATGCACAAGGATGGAGGTCGATATTTTTAACTAACTTCCAGCTTTTATATATTAGCCTGCTATTCATAATCCATCATACCTTGTATTTAGATATCACCCCTTGTATTAATCCGTTGTATTAAAAACCCCCACAGGAATTAACCACCAAAGAAAAATGAACTACAAGTCAATTTTATATTAGATCTTTGCCTCTCTGGTTTACTCAGCTACGAGGTGTGCCTAAGTTTCTTCCAAGCCAAACAACTTTTTCTTCAATCACAAACCAAAAATAAATACTATATATATATCTAACAATAAAATCAACTAATCCTTGTAAATCGTAGAAGAAAAATTACCTCATAGTGATCAACTAGCTCTTGGAAGTAACCGTAAACTTTGTTGCAAGTTTCACTTGTCCACTCGAATTCATTGGTTGGATCAAGAATGAGGGTCAGTTTATCCATCTGCGTTTGATCAAATGCGCAGGTGACCGGATCAATGTAGGCCGCGTAAATCCTGACGTGCCGGGTGACACTGCTGAGCCACTGCCCTCCATACTCTACGCTCATGTTCTTGCTCTCCACATTCACTTGTGGTTCAACTGGTCTTAGTGGCTGCTTGTATGTCTCTGGTTGCTTCTTCTCTGGCTCTTCTGGTACTTTCACTTCCTGTGGTTCTTGAACTCCAGTTTTTTGCTGAGCTGAAATGGAGAACACGTGATTTCTCTTTCTCATCTCTGTTTTCCCACCTGTCCTGCCAAACATTGAGAATTTAGTTAAGGCCATGTATGAGGATGTTGATGCCATGGTTAATTGAATTTTGATTTTTGGGGTTTGAACTTTGAAGGCTTTCTTTGTAGTTTTCTTGGGTTTTTGGAAAATTTTCAGAGAAAGGCCAATTAATTTGTGTCCTCTTTTTTGTGGATAAGATTTCTTGGTTTTTTTAATAATAAGGTAGTTTATATTTGTGCGTGTGGCTGAGGAAAACAGGAAATTGGGTGACCTATCAAATTGAGCTATGTGAGAATATTCTGCACCGTTAAAATATGAAGCTATGTGGTGCAATATGTAAGATTGATGGAGGATCTGATACCACATATGCAAACCAACAACAAAGATAAAAATCATGACAGAAAAGTAAACCATGCCACATAAAAATATTTGCCTGGTTCCGTGTTAAGCTTATTCCACGGTGAATCTTCAATGAAAATTTTCATTATACGAAAGACGGGAGATTACATGTTTAGTCTCCAAGTACTGACTGTCTCTCCCTTTTCTGTGATTTTTAGTGTTCTTACGTTACCACTTCAAACCCTAAATGCCTTTGTATATTAGGCTACAACAGAGTTCTAAACAGGGTTCAAGACCCGCAAGTGGAAAAAGGGGGCTAAGCTCATATTTTTCGGGTCATTCTGATTGAAACAAAATTCGAGCCACAACATCACACTAACAATACACACATATGTATGTATGGAAATCGTTAGAATACTGCATACATATCAAGTGGCCAAATTTCAGCATTACATTGTCTGTTTATGCAGCTACACATTTGGTATTAATTCAGTTCAATTACGCGAAAATTTCAAAATCCCAATATTGGAAGTTGAATGGGCTGATATATTCAGACTCTTGACTAGTATTTTTCATTTTATAACTGGAGGATTCTGATTACTGAACTGATTCTTCTACTGAACTCAATTCTATTTCAGATCTCCAGGTCAAATCTGAATTCAACCAACTACATAGTTTTATCATGAAACAGAGAATCATGATGCACAACAGTAGAAAGAAAGCTTTCGTTTAAGAAGAATCTTTCAACTGGATAAAGGTTCTCACACTGAAATACAAGTTTTTCTGTCCATAATAATATCTGTGTACGGTGTTTAGACCACTTGTGGAAATTAAATCACTCGGTAGGGCTCGAAATAGAACTTGAAATGAGTACATTTTGCTCAATAGTCGACAAGATGAGGCTAGACCCTGGTGCAATGGTAAGGTTGCTTCATTGTGATCTAGAGGTGACGGGTCAAAATAGGAAATAGTCTCTCCGTACGTGGAGGCCAGTAAACCCTACATGTTAAACTTTTAATGCAAGTGGTGGATATGGACACTGCATGTACTTCAAAATCTGCAGAAAATATAAACGTGGGGTGTCGGTGGCAATGGTGGTGTGGTGGAGGAGATTGCTCACACTGTTATGAATAGGACTTTCACTATCAATAAGTTGGTGTCCTGTAGTTTGTGGTGTGGGGGTCACTGACGACTTTGGAAGGATCAAGGGTTGCAGAAAGTGGGATTCCAAAAGAAGGATGTTGATGGAAGGTGAAAAGGAATCTAAAAGCAGTGGCTTATAAGATGAAGCATCATGAGACTATTAAATGAAACCGAGAAAATATTTGATCTGGAAACAAATCAAGCATCAAAATCATATTTCACTTTTGCTTGCATTCTTTAGATATATTCATGTAAATGGTTTTCTTTATACCATTTAACAAAAGATGAAATACATTGTTAAAACACGTTCAGCTCTCGCTTAGAGAACTGATACAGATTCCCACAAAACTAGTACATCAAATCGGAACCAAGGCACAACTCTCTGGGGAAGGAGGAGGGCACACTTGCAAACCACCTCTCATCCAAAACCCGTATTAAGCAACCCAAAAAAAAGGGTGAAGCCGGAAAAAAAAAAAAAAAAAATTAATAATATACAAAAGAATCACACAAACAAAGGAAGCTGTTTACTTGCATTTCTTCGGAAATGTAGTTAGTCAATGCTTGACGAGCGGCTCCACCTGCCTTGCAAGTAGTCCTCTAACGAAACACTATGCTCAATGCTGCTCATGGAGAGAGACTCTTCGTCCACGTCAAGCAGTGCAAGGTTAAGATGAGACTGAAGATCTGAACGTGGAGAAGCTTCATCGTCCAGCATGTCAGACCATTCCAGAGCGTTAACTTGTAGTCTTGCCCACTTCATTACCTCAGCATCGCCTTGAAGAAGCTTCATAACCTGCCGTTAACCAAAAAAAAAAAAAAAAAATGTATATATTAACTGTCGGTTTTAAAATGAGAGTTGACATTGTGAAACAATATTCCTAGTTTTGATCTTAAAATAGGTCTTTTCATTTCAATGAGGGAAAAGAGTAGTGAATCTGTTATGTTGGCTAATTGGAAATTTTCACCAGACTGCTACAAGGCCATCCATGATTTGTGCTACAAAATGTTTGGCACAAGAACTAATCATACCAACAGGTGAGCATATAGAGATGAATGAGTGCTAACACGATATGTACAAGAGAGAAAGCAGCTAAGTTCGGTCATACAACAAAAACCAGTGACAACACGAAAATGAAGATCCGTTTGAGTCGGGCTAAATTGCATAGCAAGAGCAAGAGAGAGGTTAAAAAAGAATGTGATTAAAGTGAGTGAGAGAAGAGATGGACATCTGATTAGTTTGAGGACATGGAGCTACAATAATAAATTTTATCTGAATACATTGCGACTGTATGCAGTCACAAGATAGGCCTTTTCTTTACCATTTGTCCAATGCTACTAACATGAAACTACAGGGGTGTTCCAAAATTATGGTTACTTCAGAAATCACAATTATACGTAACAGGTAGTTGGATAACTTACGAGACTCATTTGGGGTCGAGCTCGTGGTGCACGTCTGATACAGAGGGTAGCAGCCAAAACCATAATCTCCAACTGGTCCCGATCATAATTATTGCCCAAGCTTGGGTCTAATAATTGGGCAACCTTTCCACCATTAAGAATCGGTTTTGCCTAGAAATGGTAATTTAATTTATTTATTAAGAAACAAGATAAACAAGTAAATCAAGAACAAAGTAAGCCAAGAAGTACAGAGGACATACCCACATAACCAGGCTCTCCTGTCCCTTTGGATACTCACTGCTTATCGGCTTTCTTCCTGAAAGAAGCTCAAGGATTACGACACCAAACGCATAGACATCAATCTTCTCATTTACTTTGCCATACATGAAATATTCAGGAGCCAAGTATCTGCAGCAGAAAAAAAGTTTTTATTCACACAAATACACCAAGAATTTGGGTTATTTATCAAAAACAATTATATATATTTTTGGATTCTGAGAAGGATCTAAACACGAATTGGAAGTTAAAATACAAACCCAAAGGTTCCTGCAACATCATTGCATGTTATAAACGACGATGAGGTTGAAGCCCATTTAGCCAGTCCGAAGTCAGAGAGCTGAAAACCAACAAAAAACAGCATGATTATTAAGTCAAAGACAATCTAAAAGCCCTATATAAACTGAGGTAAGCAATCTAAAAGCCTATATAAATTGAGGTAAGTTTCAAATCACCTGTGGCTCGAAATCATCAGATAGTAGTATATTCGAGGACTTCACGTCCCTATGGATCACAGATTTAGCACTTCTATTGTGTAGATAATCCAGTGCCTCGGCTACACCTACACCCACCTTATATCTCTCACTCCACCCAAATGCCAGAGAGGCCTTCTTATTGCCTGGTTTACAAAAAATCCCAACATAAATGAAACAAAAACTAAAACATCTTCACTTTCAAGTTTCGATTAATTATCCAAATAATCTCATATAATTACATACCGTGAAGGTTCTCTTCAAGGCTTCCTCTTGACAGAAATTCATAAACCAATAGCAGATTATTGTCCTCAAAACAGAATCCCAGAAGTGAGATGATGTTTTTGTGATGTAAGGCGGTAATAATCTCAATTTCCAAAACAAACTCTTTCAATACATCTTCGGATGGCTTTAAGATTTTCACTGCAAGTTCCTTGCCATCAGGAAGGCAACCCCGATAAACCTGACTGCTTCCTCCTTTTCCGATCAAATTCTCTGGGAATATATAGAATAATTTACTTAGTAACCTAATTGTACATCAGTTGGACATAAAAAAGGAGTAATCTCAAAGATGAATGCGGAGAAACAAACCAGGCACGAAATTTGAAGTCGCCGTCTTCAATTCTTCATATTCAAACAATCTGCAAATTGATGAGTATCTCTCATGAAGACCATCCAGCTCTTTGGGAAGGCTTGTCGAGCAGCACTCTGGAGAAGGACCAGACACTGTTCCGGTTCCCACAGGAACAATTGCTCCACTTTCTCCATCTAAATTTGAGGATCTATCTCCTTCCCCATCAGTATTGTCTTTCTGATCATAATTTGCACTTGGCAAACAATGTCTGCTGGGCAACTGCAATGCCCATTTAACAACAGAGATTTGTCGCGACGGAGACCTGTCAGAAGATTGCTTGTTTGATAAAACTGCTTGGCGAAGAAGCGGCCAACCAGGTCTCACTTCGGGCAATTCTCTTATCAATACAGAAAGTGAACTTGATGCAGCCTCTGGCTTGTCTACCGGCACAATAGCCATCGAGTTGTCTTCATCGCCATTACCAGAAGACTCTTCTACACATTGGGTGCAAGAATTATCCAGCAAAACAGAATCCGGTGAACAAACGGAACATTTTTGTTTCAAAACACTCTCTGCACAATCAGAATCGGCTTTTTCTGAGGCCAGCTCGAGAACAATAGCCATCGAGTTGTCTTCATCGCCATTACCAGAAGACTCTTCTACACATTGGGTGCAAGAATTATCTGGCAAAACAGAATCCGGTGAACAAACAGAACATTTCTGTTTCAAAACACTCTCTGCACAATCAGAATCGGCTTTTTCTAAGACCAGCTCGAGATCACATTTCACTGTTGGCTTCACATCCACATTACCATCATTCAGTTCTTTGGAAGCCTTACTCAATGACCTTTGAATTGTCTCGAGTAAACCATTCCGAAGATGATCTTCAGTTCCTGCAAAAACCAAAGGTGGTCAATATTATGCTAGAAGCCCAAAAGTAAGTATAGGTTCTACTGAACTCAAATTGTAGAAGCAATCACAACCTTTTGAACCGCGGTTAGTTGGACGAGAGGCTTCTCTTTGAAACACAACTTTCCCATTATTGACAGCAAGTATTGAACACTCCTTTGGTAGTTTCCTTGCACAGTACTTAGCTACAGAGGTCGATGACCAGAGCGTGTGGTGCTTCCGGCCAGTCCCCACGATAACCTCATCAGCATTGTAAGATTTTGCCTCCCGGACCAAAATTTTTCTGATTGGTGAACCTCTGCAGACCTTAAGCTTGAGATCCACCTGGAAAATTCCAACCAATACCCCCCAACTCATTAATGCCCCTTTAGGATGCTGAGAAAATATTGGAAAATAATAGGACTTAAAAATTCTTATCAACTGAGAACTGCTCTACTTCAGGAGCTGTTTTTTTTTCCCAGGTAAATCAAAATTTCAAAACAAATAAAACACACTAGATTCAAAATTTCCTTTCCCCTTATGTTCCACTGTTTCTCAAATATATTGGTTTAAAACAAAACAAAAACAAAAACAAAAAGAGGTAAGGTAGTTGAGATCCACAGACAACAAAACGAAAACCCAACTCCTTGATTAATACTGAGAATTTATTGGAAAATAAATTAATTTAAAACAAATTGTAGGCTTTGTAACATTTGAGATCCAATAAAGATAAAAAAATAAATTAAAAAACATAGAGATTTTGATTTTAATGAAAACAAAACAGTACAAAAGACAATTTTAGTCCAGCAACTATTTTAATGAAAGTAGAGGCCAAACAGAGGGTCACTAAACAGAAGTCAGAAGAAATCAAAGACCAAAAGAATGAAAAACCAAACCTGTTTCAAGTTGCAGAAACCTTCATAAACAGCAAGAACAGAGTCAAACGCTTTCACAAGCGATAGCAGAGAAGACTTTCCCTCTCGATCAACAATTTCTACAAATGCCCATTTCATCAAATCAATCAGTAATCACTTCGTAACCCAGAAATCATATATATATACCAATATCAAAATTGTCACTCTAAAACCATACCATTGTTATTCAGAACATGAAGGGCAAGCACACAATCACCAGGTTGAGCGACCTTAACCAGAGCCCAAGTGAGCAACTCTCTGCTATGAGAGTCCAACTTCACGGCCACCACCACCGTCCCGCCGCCGCCGCCGGCGCCGGAAGCATCGAGTTCTGTATTCAATCCGGCGAGTCCGGTTTGAGTCATTTTCACGAGGTTCCTCTTGTGGGTCAGAATCCGACTACTGTGTCATTAGAGTTGGACCTCATTTGGGAGTCATATAAAAGGCAGTTTTGGAGGGTTGGCTTAAACTTAACCGTCCCTGGCTTGCTTTAGTTTGCTTTTGAAGCTCGCCTACCAGACTAGAAAGGGATATAAAGAAAGCATACTTTCCCCTGCTACAGCTTTATAAGATAAAACCATTCAATCAAAAGGACATGGGACCCGCTCCAACACATATTATAACTATATATATACTTCATAGATATTATACATACCTATATCTACACAAGTAATTTTTTTTTTTTTGGTAAAAGACTAAAATTAATTAATCCACTATTTTCATGTCCCAAATTAATTATTCTTTTAAAAAAGTCCAAGCAAATAAATATTATATTTTAGTTTTTTTAAAAAAATCAAACATAATAATACATATATATTTGAACTAAAAAGTACAAATTGATAATTTTAAAAGGAGATAATGGCATGTTCTCTTAAAAACTTTAAAAACTAAACCTGAACATGAGATGAATGAAGTAATATCTCATGTCTAATGGTAAATTAGTTAGTTGATTAATTTATCTCTTATCAAATATTTATATTTATGTATATATGTGTGTGTAAATACATAAATTAGATACGGAGTAGCAATTTATTAATTTATCCTTATCAATTAATTTTGTTTATGTATATACTATATGTGAATACATATCTAAAATCTAAAGAAGAAAATATTAGTTTCTTTCTCTTAAAAAAGCTAGAAGAGAATAGAAGTGTGAGTTATACTAATAAATTTCTAAATTAATGACCTTGACTTTTATAATTGACTATTGAGATCATTTCTAGACTAATGTGATATTAAATAATAGATTAATCCAAAAAAGTTTTTGTTACCCTTTAATTTCTTCCCCTTAGGAAAGAGTGAAAGGGTCTATGGGACTTAAAATGATTATAGGACTATTTTCATTTATTTGTTTACAAAATGAACCATTTAGAAATGTTGGTTTAATTTTTAAACGTAACTATTTCCTCTTCTTATTCTAATTATATTAAAATTGATATAAAATTATATGAAAAAAAATTTAAATATTTATCTCAAAAACAGATCAAATACTTTTCAAATCCTCATGCTAACAAAAGTGCACGAGTTTCTTTTCAAGATAATAATAATAACACATTGTATATATATATAAACCTTAACACGATTTGTTAATAAGAAACAACTAAATTTTAAGATTCATGAACAAGATTTGTTAATAAGAAACAAATGAATTTTAGGATTCATGAACATGATTTGTTAATGAAAAAACAAATGATTTTTAAGATGTTCGAACACTATCTTATTTCATTTCATTTTAAAATTTAATTTAAAGAAAGTCTGAAATTAGAAGATAAAAAAGCTAAATCTTACTCAAACAATTAAAGGAACGTAGTTGAATTTCTCCTGATTGTCTTTGGGAGGTTGACTTCGGTCTTTAGTACCTTTAACTTTTAATATAATAAAAATATATAAAATAAAATAAAACATTTTTTTTTTTTTTTTAACATGTGAAGTTAAAACATTGGTGGTGTCCATGGTAGGCTTTAACGTCCACAATTACCTACTCCCCGGTATGGTCAAAGTTTATGCACTAATTATTATGTAATCAATGGGAATAATTTTTAAAAAATGGACTAACTTATTATACTTTAATTGGTTCAACGTAACCATGAAAGGGATGGGAAGATTTTGGAGGTTATAAACTGTAGTTATTAATAGCAAAGCATGTTTTTCCTTCTCACCTAACGTTTCTTTAAGAGGATGATTACGTATTGCCTAAATTATGGTTATATATATACTCATAAAACAAGGATTGTTGTAATGGTTATACACTACAAGCAACTCTAATTTTGTACCAAATGTTTACAATCATACTCAAAAGGTACTGAACTTTTGCCTTTATAAATAAGTCAAAACTCTCATTTTAAAAATTGAGTATTAATTAATGTATATATATATATATATATATATATATTAAAAATTAAAACAAACGCACGCTCATTATCTACAATATATACCTTTACATAGGCTTAGACATCTCAACTCCCTCTTTGAAAAAATAAATTATACCCTTAAATTATAGGTCCTTGGATATAATTAATATGGATGAGAATGTGAATTAAATTGCCAAACGTAAGGGAAGACATCAGTTAGATATGTATCTCATTATCTCACTATTTAAACAATTAAATATCTAAATTTAATAGAAGAATTTACCCATTAGGAAAATAATAATAATAATAATAGAAAATTGTAAGTTTTATTATGACTCAAGAAGTATTTATCTATTTTTATAAATAAAATAATATGTTTTAGATATATCCAAATGGATTTGACTTTTGAGCCTTTCATATCTAAGTTGAGAATCAAATCCACTACCAATTCCCTTTAAAAATTTGATATTTGATCCTCTCTCACCTAAATAATAGTGATTTAATAGATTTGAGAATTTTCAAAATATTCTATTTTTTTTTATTGATATTGTGTAGTTAAATTATATATAGAAATTTGTAATGAGAGTGAAATTCATGATTCGTTGTATTATTTAATACGGGATGTATAGATTAATATGTAATTTTTTAAAAATTCTTTACACTAATTTTATCCAAACTTATTCCATCGCAACTACTACAGTCGTAACCGATATTGTAAATTATGGAGTGTATTGAATAGGTAGGCCAGTGAAGGTAAATGGAGCAAGCGCCCGTGACGTGAGTCCAAAATTAGAACCGTAAAATCAGGCGCCTCCATGTACCGTAACGGCTAAAACTAGGCCGGTAGCCAAGAAACCACCACAATCACATGACACCCCTATGCTTAATACAAGACACGTGTCACCTTTATTAATGGTGACTGTTTACCGTCACGTGCTTCACATATTGATGGCCATGCTTTCTGCCTCTCTCTTGCGTCCCGCGCTTCTATATAGTTTTTCTCTTTCTAATTTATTAATGACAGATTAAAATATTGTAGTATTAATAGAATGGTAATATTTGGGGCGAAATTTAAAAGTAGGAGTAGACAAATAATTTGTGAATTTGCGAATTTGATTTAATTTGGTTCGATTCGTGTGGATCAAATCGAATTGCTACACCCACAAATAGATGATGAATTTAAAAAAATTAAATTTGTAATTCACGAATCGGACATATAAAAATCCGATCCGATTCGTAAAATATATATATATATTCAAAGAATATATTAATTAATTTAATTAGTTAATTATAATTTAGTGTACTCTAAAGATGTATTAGTTAATAATTATTTAAATATATGAGTTAATATTAATAAATTAAAATTTTATGTATTGGGTTAGGGTTAAAAGATAAATAAATAATAAATAATTTTACGATAAAACTCAATCCGCGAGTCCAATTCAATTCAATCCGATCAGTTATGGTGAATTAAAATTTTTTTAATTCATTGGGAGCAAATTAAGATTGATATCTAATCCGATTCGATCCTATACGTGACCACCCCTAGATTTAAGTATTGAATTGGACATTTATGGAATTTAATTTATGTGAAAGCAATAGTCATATTACATAATATAGTGGATCCACCACCACACATAATTAAGTTTTGATTGGTTATTTTTATTAAATATAAAAAAGTAGAAGGTCTCATTTTTTTAAAAAATTTCAGACAATTTAGTTAAATTAATCGGGTTAAAAATCATTTTTCACATTAATAATAAAGAAAAATGTTCGACCTTTTTTTTTATTAACCCGAGTTATCCGGAAAGGTACGAACTCGAGGGTCCCTCAATAACTCGACTAATTTTCGAGAATTCGGAAGGACGCTTCTCCACCCACGTCGAGTAAGTCACAACATGAGTAGTGGAGGCTAGCCACAAAAAACACCCAGCAAAAACTCTAATAAATCATGTGTTAGAACATTCATTTTCGTGTTTTTGTTATCATTTCAGGTATTAAAAGAAAAAAATTGTTCTTTAACAAGAAGGTAAATAGAATTATAAAACGTAAATATTGATGAGATGTTAACGAACTTCGAAAAAAATAAGTAAAATTAACCCTAAATTAAAACTAAGTCTGAATGAGAAGCTTGAGAATAAATTTAAAATAAGAAGCATGAATAGTGATAGCATTTCATTTTCTTTTTAAACACACAATAATTTTAAGAGCAAATACCAAGATGGTGGGTGGGACCCAGGTCCCCATTTTTCATTCAGCAGATTTGCTTAGCATGTGATAGGTTCTATGAATGGTGGGTCCCACAACCTTCTCTTGGCGCCACCTGTTAGGTATCAAGTCCATTTACTGTACCACCGTGATATGTAAGTCCGTGGGTTCAATTATGTTCTCTTCACGTGCTGTGTGTCTAATATATATCTCATTCATGTCATTAACAAATTTAATGTTTTTGTTCCACTATGTGGTACCACCGTATCATATCGACCATTTATGTGAGAGGTATACATTAAACCAAACAAAACCAATAAAATCTCAGTTGATTCAAATTAGGTTGTGGGGTGATCCAAAATCTTTTCATTCAAGTTTAGAGGGCCAGCTTTAGAAACATCAAATCTATACAATGACGCGTTTGTTATGTTAGGAAGTACTGAGTCATCAATTTAAATTTAAAATTTAAATATTATTTTGTTTTAAAATATCAGATCAATATTTTTAAATTTAAAATTAAAAGTAATTTAATTCAAAATTATAACGAAAATTTTTCTAATTTTGAATCTAAGTCAAAGATTCGGTGTGAAATAAAGATAATAGGCCATAGGCCATACAATTAATAAATCCTTAAAATGTTTATCATATGTTAAACCTTTTTTTTTTTGTTTGAAAATCATTGCAATTGAAAATGAAGAAATATTTATTATTTAAACTTTAAATTAATTTTCTAATTCAAATGGACCCGTATCATGCTACAAAACATAACAATGCGACAAATGAATTTATAAGAAAGATGCTACTCTAAGGAGAATTCAATATACCAAATTTTCTTTACGCATTTCATTAAATTATCATATACATTTTCCATGTCTAGTTTAATAGTCACATAGTTCTCTGTTTTTTTCCTGCTTTTATTAGGCCCACAAATATTTTATCACTAACTTATCACCAGCTAGTAACTAGTACTTCAATGATCACT